ACAATATTTCACTGAGTTTATCCCTTTGCTAACCCAAATAATGAACAATAAATACAGGAAATCATGGCTTAATGGAAAGCGTAACCTCCCTATAAAGCACGTGTTTTTTCCGTACAATATAAGCAATATAACTCTTAGACTTCTTGTAAAGGATCGTGTGCCGTAATATCTCAATAACCAATATTCAGCCCACAAGAAAGATGCCCTTTTTTTTTGTTAAATATGAAATTAAACATTGTTCTTAATTTGTTCAAAATAAAAATTAAGTTTAATGCCGACCTAAAAGAAGTTTATGTCTGCCCACGTAAAAAGAGAATGATTGAAACAAATGCATTGTCTATTTTTCTCACTGACCCAAAGATCTCAAAATATCTAGGCATTACAATTTACAATCATCATCCAGAAAACTTCAGACAAATTCAAACCTCATAATCTTTCTATATCTATTTACCCACAACATGCCTCTGTCATTCCTGATCGTAAAAGTATGCATGGGGCTTGACACAAATAAATTTAGTGGATAGTTTGAAATACCTGTGAGTCTTTTCGGAGATGGAGTATCGGTCTGCTAAAATCCGAAGGTTTGAGAAAACAGATTTGCTCTTTTTTCCCTGGTTATTAAGTGCTGATATAATAAATCACGATTCTCTTTGTGTGAAATTCGTTTAATCGTGATATTTTGAATCTTGACCAATGAGGAAAAAGTTGAAATCGAAAATCTTCCTTGTCATCCATTATTGTTACCATGGGAACCTAGTTGTTTCCAAATACATCACACAGTGTCAAGATTGACGAATAAAAAATAAAATGTTTTCACAATGATCTACAATCCTTGTCACAGTTGTAGAAAACAACTTAACTTCAATGTTGGTTAAAGGTGGTGAATTAAAATCTAAACAATCAAGTTATAAAACAAACATCGTTTCAAGAAATGTTTCGTCTCGAAATTAGGCAATCATATTCAAGGAACTGAATGTTTTAAGCAATAGCTTTTTAATCCAAAAAACTGAATAAATATCGCTCTACCGTTACCATTATTGCGGCTACTTCTTGGAAAACTGCGATAAGTACCAGTAAAATTAATTTGAGCGTGTAACCTTGCGTGAAATTTTGAGATTGCAAAATGAAAAATCTCCTCCATTTTTCATTAAAAGGAAATTCAACAACAAAAGAAGGAAAAGTTTCGAGATACTTAAAGGTTTTTCTTGTTTTTTTACACGTTTTCTTATTTTATTATCAATACCACACACTCCAAGTAAAATGGTGCATCTTATTCAAGCGTTATGAAACACTTTTCAATATTGAACGCTTCATGCACATGTTCTAATTGGTGGAGTTGATCATCAAGAGTCATCAGAGATCATTATGTTCTCGGATAAGTCACTGAAATTTCAATGATAATTTCGTTTCCCCAACAACAGTTCAGTTTCTCATTCTCTTTAATTTTCATATTACAATTCTTGATACCTTTAATGAGGAGAATCTTACTTTGGATAAGCCTGTGATTTATCGCGATGAGGAAATCGGCCAAACTGGTAGAAATCGTTTTACACAGGGTATAAAGTGAGTTAGAAAAGGGCCTGGAGCGAACTTTGTTGGTTTTATAGGGCGGCTTTGAAAAATGTTATTCTTTACAAGCCGAAAAAGCTGAAAGTTTTGTTCGCAATGGCAAGATATCTTAACAAGCCTGTGGCACCTCGAAACTGTTTTCAAGTCCCCAAACGCATCAATTCATGACATTAAAAGGCGCTACGTTCCATTGACATAACTTAATAAAGCGGAATAAAATGATTCAGTTGAGTAGCTTGGATTACCTAAACTTTAAGCAGTCAGCCTTGTAGCGCTTATTACCTCATCATAACGGCACGTGCAGGTAATAACTAAGCTTTTGACCAATCACAGCGCGTGACTTACTAAACCGTAACGGGTTGTTTTGGTTACCTCATCTCCCGGGAACTAAGCCGATACTCTTTATAGAAGAACTAATAACTTTCGTCTTCAATATCTTGGGCCAAAACAGGATTAGAACGCAGCTACAACTCTTCATTATGCTAAGTAAGAAATGGTTTTCTTTAGCCTTATTGGCTACGCTAACATATAATGTATTTTTTACTTTTTCCTTGCAACACTGTATATCTATGTGATCTTCATTCGCGCGAAGAGGTTCATTCGTTGCTAAGTACGCTTACAGCAGATCGAGTATATTGCAGTTTTTCTCCCGCCCAGAGAGTTCAAAAAGCATTTGAGATTTCATTGTGAGCAGTGGAATTCAATCAACTTTTTTTCTGGTAAGGTAAGAGTTCTAACGCAATAATTCCTCGACACACCTTTTTGTTGATATCATTTTGTTTTCATATATTTGATTCTGTCATGTTTGAGATAATGAGTATCAAGAGAAGAGACCGAATTCTCCCTCGAATCATTTTAAGATTTATAACATCTGTTTCTCCGGGTATATTGTGTTATTTGATGCTAGAATGTTTTGGTGGAGAAAGGATTTAATCACTTAGGCAAAATTTGTCACTCAATATAAGTTACTTCTAGCTTGCTAAAAAAACGTAATTTTGCGTTTATCAGGCGAGCGGATTTTTTCACGCTTGCCTCCGAATGCACGAGGACGGAAATAATGACGCCTTTTTGCGTGAGCTTGGTTCTTTCTGTGCCTTCTTACGATCTCCAAACACAGGTGTGATCTGAAACTGAACAAATTAAGAGGGATGGCCTCAGGAATAAGTTATCCTTGAGGTACTCTGCAGCGTAGTTTGATTTTATATTTAATGTGAGCTGTAGGAAGTCAGTTTCCTTAACCCCTGCGGCGCTTTTCGATATCGAGCGAACTCTGAGGCTCGGAGCCAATCATGTGATTTCGTTTCATGCTACCGTCAATCATAGTAAACGGACATCATAAAACCAATAAATCAAAATCATCCAATCACAACTCGTAAGATGACTCTATTAAACGCTACAAACATCGAACTTGTTTTTCGGAGGTTTGCAACGTGATTGACGGCAGCGTCAAACGAATTTTTTATGAACTATGTCCAAATTCATAGTTTGTATATCATCGAAGAGTGTATTTAAGTATTACTTTTCCAGGGTAAATCTTGAGGTCACTATAAAGCGAGAATTCTAATCTCTGACACATACTTGCATACAACAGACTACCTCCAATGACAAAACAGCGAAACAGATCTCAGTGCAATCCCATAGCTCTTAGTTAGTTTAGAGTAAAAGGCTTCTTCCAGCGTATGAACGGAGAAAAGTTTCAAGCACATGTTTATCATTTGCTAGTTGCTTTTGTCCCGTTTGTTCATTGGATTTGAACACTTGGCGTACTCCGTGGAAAATGTTTTTCTTTTTTTATCACTGTAATTTTGTTATTATCAGATTACTGCATAAAATATATTTGTGTTGGAACTGAAATAAATGAGTAAAAAACCTCAAGCCTGTGTTACACATTTTCAGTATCAAGGGTTTATCTGATTTAAACCTATTTCAGAACTGGCTCTCTTTTACCTTGCCTTGCAATTTTCAGGTCCATCTATCCTCGTAGTAGTTAAGGAAAGGGCCAACCACTAACTGTTGCAGGCAACATGAAAGTTAGTGGATATTTTACCGGAGATATAATCGTAGCGAAGTACCACCCTTAAAATTTGAGGGTTTATCCTGCTCTTTTCACCTGCGCAGCAATTGGTCTCCTTGGTTGACGTCATTGATGACAAAAGGGTACAGGTCTAAATGAACATATTTGTTAGGATATAAAAGATTTTTGAGCCAAATGAATCCCTGCTCAATCTCTGAAACCTGCTCTTCCCCACCACCACCCCTCATTCAATGTTTTAAAGAGGTATTTGACCCTATCATGAAGGGAGGGGGGGGGGGGCAAGACATGAAGTTACCAAAATAATCTGCCACAGAGGAACGTTGCACTTATGACGCAAATTTTTTTCAACAAATGTGATTCTGGTTGAGGGTTGTCGAGCCTGTTTTTTTTTGTCATCGAGCTTGCCTCGAATTGGAGAAGTTGCTGTGATGAGACAAAAACTAGTAAATTGTTTGAGAAGGATCTGTCATTATTAGGTAATATTGCTACTAAAAATAAAACAATATTTTGGTTGACCTGTGTTTACTCAATGTGTCACTTGGAAATGACTCGCACCTAAAGAAATACTATAAAAGAATCAACCTCGGTACGCTCAATTCACGCTTTTTTTGTTAATTTTGCCGGGGGTAACAAAATTTACTATTGGCAATATGAAAACATCCAATATCTTTCCCACCTTGAAAAAACGTGATGAGAACGTAATGTCTAAAACCATTGTATTTTATCCTTACACTCAATCCCTGCACACCTTCGTGTTGCATTAACACCATCCACTTGGATTGAATTACAACGTTAGCGTTCCTGCCTTTTGCCAGATACATATGCAACATAGCCCGCAGTACTGATCCTCCATTTTCGACAAGCTTTCTGCTTCCGTGATCCGACTTAGGCTTACACTAGATGTGTATCACGTGTTAACTCCGACCGTGAGCTCACTCGCCAAAGAGTCGCCAAAGAGTTCTCTGTGTCTCCGTGTTAAAGCGTTTGAGGACTGAGTTTGAGTCCTAACTAAGGCTTGGGGACATTTCCCTCTATTTTCCACGTTGGTGACCAATGGAGGAGTTGTGGCTTGATTGATAATTTGTTGCCTGTGTTATTGTTACAAGACATTTTATTCTCTCTCTTCTTCCAGGAGTGGGACTGGGTGCCAGCAAAGGTAATAAACGGCGGGAAGGGGAAGGGAGGGGTGGGCGGGGAGACCCGTTATCGACCAGCATTCCAAGTGGCGATGCTCCCAGTCGCTCCATGTCATAGAAAATAGTACAACGGTGATCATGCGGGTACGTCTTCTATTGAGACTGGACTATACCGTTTAGGTAATGATTTATACTTCTTACCTCACAGGGACTAACACTGTTTAAAAGTCTTATTGAATAAGTCCACGACAATCACGTAGGATCTATTTTGTAATGAAACTTTTTAATTAACTTTCCAAGAAGATTACTGTAATTTACAACCAACCTTTTTAAGCTTTCTCAGTCGATATATAAGGAGCTTAGTGTAACACACTGAACATAAGGCCACCATCAATCTTTTTTTGGAATTCTTTCTAAGCTTATTCTTCTGTAGGAGCAAAACTAAATTGAAAAATATATGTTTTTAACGACAAGAATTTGGAAATGATACCAATTGAAAATGAAAAAAAAAGCCATTCAACTTGTGTTGAATATGAAATCAGAGGCATTTTCCATAAAAATTCATGATTACCTGAAAAGCTTCTTCTTGTGATGCCATAACACATGCAGTATTCCGCATTTACGAGGAAAGCAATGTAAACATAAAGGCGAAATACCACATACTCCAAGGATGGCGTCAAATCAAGGAGTAAACAACTTAAAATCATGCATTTTTCTGGGTTTGTCAACTTTTAAAAAGTATGGCTAATTCATTCGTATATATTGCTTTTTTCCTCATTCTTCGCCAGAAAGAAGTTTTGTGAAAAATGAAACTGTAATTAATCAAGTTACATTGAAACGTGAAGCGCAACACAACGAAAGGGTTTTATGAGGATAAACTGCCCGATTAGAGAGGAAGGATGCTTTCCATGATCAAGTCTAAATATAAATCATTCATCCTTTACCACAGCTTTGCATTAATGATTTTGATCACGGAGAATTTATACCCTGTTCATTCCTTTTTCCCCAGTTTCTTCCTCAGAAAACCCTTTTACCATCTCAAGCAATTTCATCAATAATTTCTGATAAACGAACATCTGCTTTACTGCTTGAACTAAAACATTACTCTCGGAAACGCAATACGTATTTCCATGAATCATCTTGTAAATTCGTAAGCGTTTTACGCCAGCAAATGTCTTTTATCTTTGCTGCGCTGTAGGTACACCGGTGAAATTCAAAATAGCTCTAAAATTCCCAAATCTTTTTATGCGGTGATCTTTTGTTGGGCTTGTTGGGAATAGTGCTGGCAGATCGGCCAGAACCGGAGCCAGAATCTTCATCATCTTCGTCATCATCCTCCTCCTCATCTTCGTCTGATTGCTCTTTTGAGCTCTTCTGAGCTTTCACTGCCTCACGAATGGCGTCCTCGTCAGCAGTTTCTTCTTCCTGTTCATCTTCGGTGTTGTTTGATTTAGCCTCCTTGAGTTCCTCAGCTACGAAAAAAGTGTCATGGTCTCAGTAACCGCATGAAAATTTTTTGTTCACGTCACTGACTTTAGCCTAGATAATCTCACCATATCCAGCTATTCTAAAGTGATGTCGGGGGGGGGGTGTGTGGAGGACTTTAGCGTGGTGCACATGGTTTTCAGGGGGAAACGAAGGGGCGGGGGAATCGCTAACAGGGTGTAAAGGTAGGACTATAAAAAATTGTCTGAGATCAGGTGAATTTTATTCTCAAACCCCCCAGGCGAGAAATAATGCGCGGTTCTTGAGAAACAAAAATATGCTATTTCGTATTGTGTTTTTTTGAGTGTAAAAAGCCAAGAAATAAATTTATTTAGATAAACTTTACCGACTGCACATTTCTCGGAGGATAAATTGAATTGAATCGAACAGAAGTGATTGCATATATTTCTGGCTGTACACAAGCATATACAGGAACCAATGTCCAAAATAAGGTCTTAAGCCTTTAACCCCTAAGAGTGACTAGCATCTAATTTCTCCCTTTAATGTCACCTCTGAATCATATATTAAGGTTATGAGAATAAAGGAAACGATCACCAACTAAAGAAGCTCTTGATTGTTAAACAATTTCTCCTTGTTAGCACCTTAAGAATTGTATGGAGAATATGGATACTGATGTTAGGGTGTAAAGGGTTAAGACATCTCAGCAGCTAAAAATTTGACTTACCTAAGGTAACTTTTTGGCTGTGTTTTGTGGTGTGGTTCTTCACCTTGTTCTTCTTCAGCGCGTGGTGACGATATTTCAAATGAGCTTTGTGATGTTTCTTGTGATGATGAACCTCCTCAGTATCTTCATCTTCTTCATCCTCATCGTCGTCATCGTCATCAGCACTTTCGCCCGCTGGCGAGAAAGGACAAAATTCATAAATCTCCCGATGGAATCGTTGTTATTTCAACCATTTTATTGTAACAGTTGGAGTGTGCTATGCTATGAGGTTGCAGTTTTGACGGTTCTTTTTCGTTGGTTTATAGCTTTGGTTTCCCCATCAAAAGATGAAATTTTAATTTTTTTAACATCTCCAAGGAACAACTTGTTACTTGCAGGTGTTACAGATGATTCATGACACTTAGCGGCCTTTTTGCGACAATAGCTCAATCAGCACGAAATCTGATAGAACTTTGGTCAGGAAGAAAAAAAAAACTGCTCGAAAGGTCTAAATTTCATAAATTTGATTTATACGATAAACCATCAACGTAGAAAATGTGAGCAAACCAACCACTGTGATGCCAATTTGGTCCACAGACTGATATAAGCGTCCCGTGCAAATCTGATTTCGCAAGACCCTTATTTTTAAATCACTCACCAGACGAAAGATAAGTTACTTACTTAGCTTCTTCTTGCAGAGAAAATAGAACTTATCATCGCAGTGGAAAGTTGTCCATTGTCCATTTTGATCGGTAGCCACGCAATCCATTTCTTGGTCTGCCCGCTCGTCCTTGACGTAATCCATTTGCGGACTCATGGACTTGTACGTCATGTTACTTCCATCACTCCACATAAAGTCGCTCTCATTTTTCATGTCATTCAAACCGATCCAGGTAAAGCTGAGAGACGAGAATAGTGTTTTATTAACGCTTTTCGACTGAGTGTCGTAATACCAGAGCTAAAGTAATAACGAATAATGTCTCTGAGGTATCTGTGGTACTGCGTCGGTTGCGGGTATCAAAAGATATTTTGGTTTATGGACTACGTTTATGAACTGTAAATTGACTTCCGTTAAGAGTCTCTAAACTGAGCTGACGTTTCGAGCGTTAGCCCTTCTTCTTTCGCTCTGACGAAGGGCCAAGACAAGAAACATCAGCTCAGTTTAGAAATTCTTTACAGTAGCCAATTTGCATTAATTTTAATCAACTAAGTTTATAAACCAAATTATCCTAGATTAATAACAACTGCTAATCAGAAGACAGCGAAATAGTGAAAAACGTAAAAAAGAAGTCAGCTTCAAGAGCGAGAAGACGGGGCTGATTAGGTCAAGTTTCTTTCTGATTTAGCATTTAAATGGTTGGAAATGTGACACGAGTTCACTCTTTTTTAAATAAAGAGTGAAGCGAAACAAATAAGTCTAATCCCAGATTCTTATACTATTCAATAGTTAAAGCAGACGGTACTTTATTATCTGGTCATGCTCCTCACTGATTTTGAAGGATTCGGAAATAGGGAAACTCATTCTCCCCGTCTTAAATACCCAGAAGGTAGAATCTCGTTCATTCATTGATGTAGTGAAAAAATTGCAAGAACTAACTTGAGGAAGCACAATCTTACCCGCAAAGCTGAACTTGGTTCTTGACAAAGTCGGCTTCCTCTTCACCCTTGATGGAGGCGAGGTCAGCACCATATTCAGCACACTTGTCTCTAGCTCCGTGCCATGTGTTGAAATCAGTCATCAGCCTGAAACAGTACACTCCTTGGTCTGTTGAGAATCGTCTCCAGAACAAAGGACACACTTTGGAAAAAAAAAAACGAATAGCTTTATCAGCTGGCCACCAGGTACGATTCTGGAGGGTCACTTCTGTCTAAGGGTTGTTACGCTAGTAATTCTGCAGATACTTGAGCTATCAAATTACTAGCGGTACCTTTTTGGAAGGCTACCGCTGACCTAAAAGCACCGTTTGGGGTTTTTCCTTTAGAGCACTGCAATATCTTCCATTTTGTGATCCTCCACCATCATTCGACTTGTGTTTGGGGATGTGTCAGGTTGCTTTGAATGTCATGAACTTCCTTGGACCCGTAAAGCGTAGAGAAACAAGCTACCTATCCACAGAAATCGTCCAAGCAAGCATTTGTTGAAACCATTCTTATTTTAAAGAGGGAGAACAACATTTACCATCTCTCTTATTCATCTACTTACTTTTGTTGTTAAATCTCTTGCTACTCTTGCTCCTTGTATTCTCGATGATCCATTTGGTGACATAAGGCCCCGCATAGGCATCGGCTGCCTCTACGTACATTTTCTTGGACACGACATTCCCTTGTCCAGATTGGTGTACAACGCGGACGGAATTGATAGCAACAGGCTGATTGAACTCATACCCAATGAAATCTTCACCTGGTCCTCGACTGTACCATCCATTGGGAAGCCAATAAGTGCTGCTCCTGTTGTCGAAAGCACTGCCGGGCTCATATCCAAGGTAGCTTGAGCTAGCGAACGCCTTTCTTGGATCTTGTGTATCCAAAGGTCTCTTGGCGTGTTTGTCCGCAAAGAATTGGACCTTGTTTAATACCCAAGATCTTGGCAGTTTTGCTTCGTTTACTATTCTCCAAAATCTGTGTCCTGTTCAAAGAAAAAATTAAAAGACTCGTCTGCTGAAATTATCACTCAGAGCGTCGACAGGGAATGTTGCAATTCTATGAGGTTTCTCTGCTGGAACAACGCTTTTTCTCATTAACTTTGTTATCATTGATTTAATTTATTATGGAATTTTGGTCAAAATACAGAGCTTTTACAAACTTACGTATTCCTAACAATGTTGGAACTCACCAATGTTCTCAGACGAGTCACACCAATTGCATGAATCTTTACAGTAGTTGTACATGAAGTGGTGGTTTTCTTCACAGAAACATGGATTCCTTGCCTTAAGACAGAAGTTGTTGGCTCTTTCATCGTCTAGACAAACTCCTGTTGAAGAAGATAATTTTGAAAGAACTTATTCTCCCATGAATAGAGATAATTTTCAATAAATTGTATTCCTGCCTAATAATAATCGCGGTAATTTCGTCTACCCCTGAATGGTTTATTTTCCTTAAAAATAGATTTAGCAGCCATATTCTCTTAAATAATTTGCTAGGATGAAGCATAGCATCTGAAGAGAAGCAGTCAAATCACAACTTTGGAGTTTCAGTTTTAAGTTAGGTCTCGTTCAGAGGTCACCATGAAGTCAAATGGCAAATAATAATTTTTGTGCATTACAGAATATAGGCTATACAAAGGATTTAGCTAACATACCTGTCAAATCGCTTCTCGCTGTCAAAAAAACAAAAACAAACAAAAAAAAAATAATAAAAAGCGGTCATTAAGATTATAGCTTTTCTAAATGAAACACTCATCGAAGAATAAATGAAAAAAAAAAATATTAACGTAGTCAACAGGTAAAATCCACCTACTTTGGGCCTTGCTTGAACCTGTAAGAAAACAAAGCAATAAAAAAAATTAAGTTCGTAACCTGCGACATTTGCGATGATGCCAGGGCGGATCATCTTGTTAGAGAGAGTAAAATGATAACAATAATAATAATAATAATAATAATAATGATAATAATAATAATAAATGATGATAATAATAATAATAACAAAAAAAAAGCAAAAAAGGTATCAACAACAACAACGGCGAAGAAATCGTCAAACCAGGTAAGAGATTGTATCACTGTTAAAACTAATGTGTTGTTTCAGTCAATGTAGAGTTAATATGTCTGATTCAGAAGGTCCAGTTCACTGGCAGTCTGCCTCTTGTCCTCCTTGTACAGTGTTTTATGCTTTATCAGTAATGGTTAGTGGGAGGTTAACCCTTGTCAGAATAGGATAGAATAAAATGCAATCCAGCCACACTCCGAAAATAAAACCATCACTCTGCCAATATAATCAGCTGGTGATTTTTCTCGATTCTGTAAATTTAAATTTAACACTGAGAGACGCTCTATATCGCCAGACAACTCAAATATGTTTAAGTCGTCGAGGTTTCCTTGTGACTAAAGGAAGACTCGGTCAGATAGAAGGGATGAAAATCCCGACTGGTAAAACTCGAACAAATGCATCGAGCAAAAAACGATTTTGAAATAGATTATTTCATCTGGATTCCTATGTCATCTCCTGGTCTTTCTTCTCAACCGGCTCACTTCTCACATGCCACATGATTGTTGAAACATCCACCGCAGAACTTTCCTAATGGAAATTGTTTGCGAATTTAAAAAATAGGAGAGTTGTTTCAGTTTTTTCGTTACAATTGTTCTCGACGTGCAGTTGTTGTTCTAGAAAAAAGTGAATTGTTCTACCGTGTTTATCTGTTTGTATCAGCAATTTAATTCGTCAAAGTCTCATACTGTCTCTGTTTTTGTTTGTGTTGTTTGTTTAGCCGAACATACCTTGGGTGGAAGTAGACTTGGCCACCTGAGCCACTGAAAACAAAAACGTTTCACATTTTCTTATTTTTTTCTTTGTTTTGGAATGATGAATTTTGATGATATGTTCATTGAGACGCCGGCCTAACCAATCGATTATAATCGACGAACCCAAATCAATCGATATCAAGGGATGGCTGTTAATTGATTCATATCGATTGACGCTGGTCAGTTGATGACCAGGGGAGAACAATCACTATCGATTAAAAAAAATGACGGTCAAATGCAGCTTTACATAGGAAAGTGGAACTTATAAACAAATCCATTCGCTGATAAACTAGTGTGACAATATTTGAAATAAATTGGGAAAAGCACCCAAAAAGGAAGGGCAGGAGCCTCAGCATGTTCACTTTGTAGCTGTGTAAATGTCATTAATTCTCAGTGTAGATTTATTTTTAAGGATGGAAGCCTAATCATTTCTCGTGGTGGTTAGTCAAAGAAATTTTTAGTTCATTGAATTAGCTGAGCTAAGTTAGTTTAATTGCCACTGGGTACCTTACCTGCGGCAGCAATCAAAGCGGTTGCGGATCGAGCAGGGGCTGGAGCTGGGTAAGCGTAAGCAGCAGGCGCTGGGTACGAGGAGTAGTAGGGAGCTGGTGCTGGTGCTGGGTTATAGTTGTAGCTGTAGCTTTGAGATGAAGGTTGGTAAGTAGCAGACGCTGATGAACTGTAGGGGACAGATGCTCTGGCGCCAGCTGATGCTTGTGCTGTTGTAGAGGAAGCCGGGGCAGAAGCTGGTGAAGCAGGAGCTGGAGCTGGAGCCGCAGCAGCAGCCGCTGGTGCGGGAGCCGGAGCAGCAGCGGCTGATGCAGCGGCTGGAGCCGAAGCAGCCGCCGCTGGAGCTGTTGCCGGCGCTGGTGCTGCTGCTTGGGCTGTTGCAGCTACGGCTCCTTGCGCTGAAGCTCCTGCTGCCGCTGTTGCTGTTGCAGGAGCGGGCGCTGAGGAAGATGCAGATGCAGTGGCAGGCGCTGGCGAAGGAGAAGAAGCTGGATATGGCATTGCTGACCTGCTCTGTCCAGTATTATACGCTGAAACGGATTAAAAACTTCGAAGTCACCTCCTCTAGCCTTTATATTATAATTGCTGGGGTATTTGAATAATTTGTTTATCGAAATAGTCACTCAGAGACGACCTTGGCTTACCTGCACTGTTGTAAGATGTGGTAGCCTGTGCGGTGTACTGTGATCCATACGAAGGGTACCCTAGAAAAAAAGGATATTTACACATGTAAAGTCTAACAGAACCTTAAAAAACCTGCAGGGTTAAATGAGCAACTGTTAAGAACCGTTCGGTTTTCTGCTGATGAGTTATTTTCCGAAAATTCTACGGCCATATTTCTGTGTTTTTTCGGAGTAGCGAACATGAAATAATGGAGACATCTGGTGTTTAGTTTTTTTTTTAACTACCATTAGTTACCCATTGGAAAACAAACTTAAACAGTCTTGCAGTGTGCGTGACAGCCTTCTGGCCGCCATTTTCGTTTGCGCGACGTAAAAACCCATTTCGTTGAAACTTGCACAACGCTTGATTTTAAAAATATATTCGCTGGCTGGTTATAGGATCTTTATGAGCCTTGCCATCTGGATTTGGTTTATGATATCACGCGACAATATATTTCCATGTCGGTAAACCACTTTTTTTCATAAAAAAAAATCAAAATTATTTTCTTTGTTTTCTTCCTCTTCTTAGTCTATTGTCGCAATTTCTAACGAAGTCCACCTCTTTTGAGTGGTAGTACTTTAACGCATGCTTAATTCAAGCTTTTTTCTGACCTTAACGATCGCAGGCTCCATACCAGATAAGTTTCACCAAGTTTGAGCTAAGTCATTGTAAAATTCACATAGTTTTATAATGTACTGTAACTTGCAAAAAAATTCCATTTTTTCAGTTCATTGCTGGGCACATAACTATGATTTGATTACGGGTAGCAAACTGATAAGACAACTGATGAAAATGTTTTGACACCATTGACTGTAGGCGCCGCAGGAGTCCGCCATGTTTTTTATCAACACTAGCTGATGTAAAATGATGTCATGAAATCTCACCGTTTGTCGAAGGAACTGTGTCCCGTTTCACTTGTTTAGCTTTGAGGAAAAATTGATAAAAAGCAAGTTGAAATTTAAGTTGTTGAGCACTTTGGGTGGCAAGTGTGATTTAAAGCTAATTTTCTAAAGTACTTTTAATCGCTTAGTGACTTAAATACAATTTGTGATGACGGTAAAGGATTTATCGTAGTTTCCATATCTTAAGTTTTAATTTAATTTAACTTAAATGGATAACGATTTTCGTAACTTTTTACTGTGGAAAATCAACTGTTGCATAACAATTATAAAAATGGTCGCTATCTATCGCCAGAAACGCGAGGCGTGAAAATAAAAGATATCCCGTCAATTTTGTGTCTGTTAAAAAGTGGAACAATAAAAATGGCTGAATCTTGAAACAAAATTAAACCCTAAGGCATTTTTTAAGCGCTCTTCAGAGTGTAGTGTAGATATATACTTGACACATTTACAACCACCTTGATGTCATTTTTAAAACACTTTTCCCAAACTGACAATATAACAACAACATACTGTATGTTCAAATATGTTTATATGCTAGCATTCATTTTAAGACACTCACACTCTCTGTCATCTGTCCATTTGGCCTTGTGACTTTTCGGTTTTATGTGGAATGTTCCTTTTATTACTAAAATTTCAAAGTAGAAAAAAAAGTGAAATATCGCCATTGTTTATATAATATTAATGGCCTAAATCGCCCATAAGTTTGTGTTGAAGACATCTTGTAGACTTCGCTATTCTGAACTTCCTAGTATACTTTTATTTGTCGAATCTCTCTCTTCCATGTTTTTCAAAATAACGTCTGAAGACTCGAGCCATTAAAACCCGGAGTGATTTACCAGGGGACTCGACTATATTTTAGAGATAACAACAGGTTGCTTTTATGTAGCATATTCTTTAAGTAGATGTCTCCTTGTCGTCTACACCCTGAGACTAAAGAATCGAAAGTAAAGAATTTGATTCTGTGGTAATTCAATTCTACATGAAATGATTACTCATTGAGGCTGTTAACTCCCAAATCAGAAGCACTAAATGTTCGTGAATCACATCCAAGAAATTCAAGTGTTTAACCAAGATGATCGGAATCGTTGGCTAATATTTGTAGATAGCGCCATTGTTTCCAGCTTACCTTGAAGTTCTAAACAAGCTACGAGAGCTAATGTTACAAAATACTTCCTCCACATCACTGTAAAAGTGGTTTCATAAATCAGTTGGGAGAAATCCTTGGTTCTAATCTCTCTTAAATTCCTCGTGATCCCAAACAAGACGCCAAAGAACAAAGACTAGGACCCAAGGTCATAAATAAATAATTATGAATTAAAAGCCATGACATGTACCCGGGGAAATTGATAAACAACAGTGAAACCAATGCTGTGGTCAGCGTTCACTAATGACGGCAAATATAATGGTCATTTTTATTTTATTTTCAAGAACATATCTAGCGGGAGGTTGCTCTGATGTGATTATATTTTCCAAAACAGCCCTAGGGTCTCCATTCCAAGGAAGACTGGAAAAATTTCCAAACATGGATTGTTCATGGTGGTTTACACCTTCCAACAGTTTTTGAACAGTGTGGCAAATTCTTGACAGAAACAGGAAAAAATTGCAGCCAGCTTAAAAAACTCCTAAATTTGGAAGGGTAGCCACAATGTTGGCAGATTTAACAATTCTTCACTTATTTCTAGAACAAGGTTTTTAGGCAAAAACTGAAAAAGCTAATCAATACAAAATGGCCTGAACAAAAAATTGTAATCAACTCTTAAATTGTTTAAAATGCCATTATCCTTTTTTTTTTTTTTTTTTTTTAATTCTCGAAGTCCGTTACACTCAGGAAAGTCAACCGTTTCAAATTGACAAGCGTAATATATTTCAGGCAGAGTTCTGGTGTGTTTTCACAATACGAACACCCGTCCCCCTGTGAAAATAATGGATTCCTTCTGGTAATAGCAGGTGCCAGGCATTGCTTCTGCTCGGTAAGCGAGCACCCCAATCCTACGAGAGATGAGTGATGCCCGGTGAATGGTTCGCTAACTTGGAAGCAAGTCACTTTAATAACTCCGAGACATCTTTCATCAAACGCACTCGGTCATGACCTGGCCAAGTTTATAATATACGACAATTCAAATCAGCAAGTCTGAGTAGGTTTTTCCTCATAGGCTCGTAATGTTCGCAGAGTTTTCTTGTAAGATCATTGTCAAGGAGCTGTGCGTAATCAGTCGGCGAGGTAACCAAATTGCTTTGATAGGTACAATGGTTCACGTGATAGGGATTTGGATGCGAACGCGTCTATATGAAGATGCAATTTTGGAGACAATTTGTTTTTCCTTAATTATCATGATTGGCGCGGGAACTAGGGTAGAATTCTATAGCAAAGTTTCCAACCGGTGACTTTGTGCCTGCCACATGTATGGTTATGTGGCACAGTTCTGCATCGATCTGCAATTGAAATGAACTACATTTTGAATTTTTTTAACAAGGAAATTGAGCAAGCGGTGTTCAAAAGTACACTTCTTAGATGGAAGTCAACATACATGGCGTAGATTACTCTTTGTTTAAAAAATCACAACGGCTCGGAACTACCTCTTACAGCTGGTAAATTATATTTATATTGCTAATAAAGTTGGTAATATCGTGTCCTCAGTTGGATTCCATTTTACACTCGTCAAGCTGAAAGTGTTGATATTGTTTATCATTAGTTAGTTTGTTATCTAGCCCCCTAAAGTTATTCAAATTTGGCACACTTTTGTTTCACGTCTTGTGTAAACTAATTTCATTAAAGTTAATTTTTTTTGCTTTCGTTTTCTGGTCGCCTTAGTGCCTGATTCGTTTCTTTTCTCTCGTCGTTACATCGGTACCTCTTTGGTAGTCAAAAAAACATTTACAAATCGTAAAACGGTAGCTTCGTCCCCACGTGTCAATTGTCAGTGCTTGATAGAGATGATCATAACGAAATCTAGCACTTAAATAGAACCAGTTTTGTTCTTCACCCAATAATCAAATTTAATCTTCCAGAATTCTTGCCGGCCTTGCTCTTCCTTTGCAGAACATGAACGCCTAGATATAAGAACGTCTCGACCAAATGCTGTTCTGCTACCGTTCCCAGAAGTTGTATAAATAGCACACAGACTCGAGACTTCTACAATGATACCCAAAATTATCTTCGAGTTCATGATGCTTATGAAGAGCCTAAACTAGCTTTCGACAGGTTATAGGTTAGATTCTTCAAGGTTGATTCGCTGTTACGTAACTTTGGCTCCTCTGCAAAAATTGCCCATACTATTGCTGTTTTGTTTTTAACCTTTAGCTGCCATGGCAACGTATACTTTGAAGTTATTCAATTCAAAATTGTCTCTGCTTGGGTCTCGAACAACTTTGCTGAGGTCAGAGAAAGCGACTCTCAGGAGAAATTGCTTTCTACATGGGTCTTAATTTGTCCATTGACGGAACCACCTCAAGCCCAAAATAACATGTGCACTACCCCGCCTACCAGTTTCTTAGCGGCCACAGAATTAGGACTCAAAGCGTATTTGACCTCAGGCGTATTCACATAAAAATATTCTCGACGCCATTTTTTCTGGCCCTGTTACTCGTTAGGTAAAATATGGACGCGCAAGTGGAGAATACAATTTGGTTTTCCTCAGCCATGGCGATCTCAGTCTTCAGCCAAAGCATATTTACAGTAAATGCAGACAGGAGTCCATCACTAAAGAACTGCTCCTGAGGCAGGTTCAATGATCCATGGCCACATTTTCAGGTACCTGTCACGAGTGGTACCTGTTCGGTGAACGATTTTAAAACGATTTGGGGTCGAACAATTTCTACTCCAAATTTCAGCCAAAATTACTTTTCAACTGATATCGACAATTTCGTTGTACTCCTTTGCCATTTATCTGGCATGCTATTAAAAGGAAACTTTGTAACATGAATTTGGCACCAGTGCGGGCATGCCCTTTATGGGAATGACAAGTGGCGGTAATTGATCTTGGTCATAAATTATGAGTCTTAGTGTCAGACCAAGTTTGATTTGTACGAGTGGCTTATGACTCGCTTGCAAATATTTGATGTCAAGGGTAATTTATACGCTACGAAATCTTGTTAAAACAATGGCGTCCTTGCTATGTTTTGTGGGTTTGCTGCTCGTAGGGTTCGCGTCAGCCAATCTAGAAGGTAAGTTGTTTACAATTGACCCAATATTCAGACGTTTTATTGTAAAACACCAATTACGTATTCGTTAGAGCATTTTGATAACAGTAAATAAAGCATGTTTCTTCCTTATTTCCTTTATTTTACTTTAATGAAGAAGACACCTAACGCAAAACCACGACTGCAAAGAATAAGGGATTTGTATATCTTTTCTTTAGAAGTTTCAAAACGACCAAAGAGAGTTGGAAACGTTTTCACTTGCAGTAATGTTTTGGTTACAGACATTATACAATCTAAGAGATAAGACCTGCTTTTATGAGAAAATTGATTTCACCAGTTCGCGAAATAGACGCTTCATATGTTAAGAACACAGAAACAGGTCAAAGCGATTCTAGATATGTCACAGTTTATCAACACCCACTACTTAGACCTTTTTGCTCCAGGATTTAATATCCCATTAAATAAGTTAGGTCATCAGTCACGTAAAGTTTCCATAAGTTTTGCGGACTGTCATGATTATTCTCATATATTTTGAGTACTCCTTATTATTCTCTTCTAGAATTTTATTTCTGTGTAATCTGAGTAATTGAGCCGTCTATTTAAAATAAACGCACAGCAGCAGAGTGATATTCTTTAGTTTACCCGTATGACTACTACTCATTTTGCACTGTGAGGTGACTCTAAGTTCAAGGAAGAAACTTACGTGTTTAACCACCGGATTAGTGAGTAACTTGGAGCGATTAAGAGGTTACTTGAGAGGAAATATCCATTAAGCGTCGAAAGTAATTCTGCATTGTTCCACGTTGCTCTCTAGTTTGCATAGATTACGTGCGATATCCCTTAACCTTTTAACTCCTACAAGTGATTAGTAACTATTTTCTCCTATCAGTACGACCCCTAAAACAATCACTGAGGTTATGAGAATAAAGGAAATGATTACCAACTTAAGAGGCTCTTGATTGTTGAACAAATTCTCTTCGTCAGTACTATAGCAAATGTATCGAGAACAGTAGGGAGAAAATAGATACTACCGATCAAATTCAAAATTAATCGCAACTTGTCCACTCACAATTAGCCATTGTAATCACTTTCGTCCTGATTTAAAGACACTTAAATTGAAAGCGCTTTAAGTGCTACTTAAGAATCGTCACTCGTAGATAACGCTCTTTTTTTACGCAATTTGTTCACAATTTGACTCTAAGGAGACGATTCCTATGCATACCATTAATCCAGAAAAATACTCACTTCTTTAATTTCCTTGAAACGTTTGCAGGTCATCGACAAAGATTAACAAAACACCATTCTTCACCTCACAAAAATCATCATTCTGTCCAAAATACACCCCTTGTCGAGCCAGGCGCTCAGAAAAATATAATTGCGCACAAAACCCCACAGAAAACCACATTACAGAAACCTCAAGTAAAGCAATCCGTTCCACTGACTTCTGTAAATAAACCAGCTGCGCAGAATGAGGTTAAGGCAGTAGATTCTAAAGCAGTTGAGGGGACCAGACAAGCAACTGGAAGAGCAATTTTATTACATAATGCTAATGGTCAGGGACATGTTGTCCAAGGTAAAACAGATTACAAGAAAGCTATATTGTATATTTGACGGTATGACACTCAATCTTCCAGCATTGAACTCTGAAAACTTATTCACCCCAAAAATTACAAAGCTGTGCTGTTTCCAGCCTCGTTGGAGAGTTTCAAAGAAAAACTTTGTAATTCAAGGGGTATACAGACTTGCAAAATTTGTGATTATATAAAATGCGCACATACACAGATTCATTCCCATTAATGGTTTAAAAATAACCCCCCTCCTTATCCCTTATCCTCTAAACCCCTTAGTTGAATCCCCCAGGGGTAAATAGCCCCCATTTTACCATACAATGTTAAAGTGAAGAAGATTCATCATTCAAGAAATTTACTCTCTACTGACCGTAAAGGCTTTGTTCTGATACAACTTCAAACATGCTAAAATGTTGTATAAATCTTATTTAACAGACTCACCCAGTGGGAAAGCTCAAGTGATTGTTATCAACTCAGAGGTTGCAGCTGACAATGGTATGATGGCAGATAACCAGATAACCGTCCTATCTGAATTTTTCTATACACGATGCATTACTGTTATATTTCAGGCCAAACCTAGAACGTTGAATCATTTTGAATTTCTCATAGCAAAGGTAGAAAACTTCTTTTCGTTTTATATACAAAGCACCAATAATTTATCTGTAAGACACTTGAAAACATCTTACAATAGGCTAACTTAAAAAGATAAACGAAATACACGTGTGATAAAAACCCTTCAATCGCGACTGAATCGAACAGCTCTGGATGGGATGTTAGTCCACAGTGCTTTTGCAGGTTTTACTGTAAATACTTCAGGTCTATGTTATACTCCTGGGTGGAGTGGGAAGAAGCACTGTGAGAGTGAAGTGTCTTGATCATTAACACGCGCCCACGGGTAGAGCCGGTAGCTCTTCATCCCCAGTCCATCGCAAGCGCACTAGCCATCAGCCCTCCATCTTTGTGTGTCCAGTACGCGTTCAGCGCACTTACAAATTTTTCCGTGGATATCGTGTCTTGTTTACAACGAATATATCAGTTATCTTACCCTGTTCCTACTATAAAATCATCGACGCTGTAACTCGGTGTTTTTCAGCCAAAAATTTGGCCAACAATTCAAACAAGTATATTTCGAGTTGTCAACTGATTTTTGATATACTTTGTCTTTCATTTGGTAAAAGGTGGTAAACTCGATCCATTCTCCCAAGATTGTCTCGATGCACATAACAACTATCGAGCTAAACATGGAGTCCCCCCTCTTATGTGGTCACGTGAATTGGCAGATGGAGCGCAAAACTGGGCGGATCAACTGGCGTCCACTGACTCTTTACAACACGATGAAGTCGCCATACACAACCGGAAGATGGGTAAGTTTATGAAATGGTTAAGTTGCACATATTTAGTGGACTGATACCGAAAGAGGCTCATCCCGATTTCTAAGGGGCGGATCAGGGAATTTTTTGAAACAGAGTCTTATCCAAGATCACTTCTCGACCAACTCACGTCCGCGCTCCCTTTCCCTATTTTCACAGCGGTTACAGAAACAAATTCATTCAGTTGAGTATTATTTTGTAAGGATAGTGTCAGAGAATTAATGGTCTGATGAAATAGTGGGAGGAGAAAAGAGGGGGGGCGGGTGCGTCCAGACCCCACGGAACCTCCCTCTAATGTCTCGCTACATGTGGTCCTTGTGGATCGGGCGCCCATGGAGCTCCTGAGCAACCGAATAAGCGGAGTTTTCTATTCTTAGGAGAGAACCTGGCTTATTTTCAACCAGCCGTTCCGAAATGCGAAGGTGCCATGGTTGACAATTGTGTCAACTGCCGAGAGATGGTCCAACGGTGGTACGATGAAGTTAAGAACTATGATTTTGATAAAGGAGGACCTAAGGCAGCCAGCGGTGCTTACAAACACTTTAGTCAGTTGATTTGGGCTAACACTGCTGAACTCGGAGTTGGAACCGCGGTCAGTAAACGGTATGGCTTTATAACAGTGGCACGGTACAGGCCGACGGGAAATGATGGCGGGATTGAGGAGTTCATAAGAAATGTTCCTCCAGAAGGAGGTAATATGTATTTAAAGTGTAAGAATATCTGATCATAAGTACAAAGAATGCGGCGAAAATTGTTAAATTTGATGATTTGCTTTATTTCTCGCGAAGGATTCCTTTCACTAAAGAAATTGAAAAATTTTTCATTGCGTCTTAGCATCTCAGAAAATTTGAAAATGATTTATTCATGTTTGGAAGGCTGCTGAATATCTCGCAAAAATGAGAAAAATCCTGCAGCTTTGGAAGTTTCGTAGATGTTTTTCTAACATAAACACTCTTGAAAATACACGATGGACATAATGGTGGTACCTATCTGAGACCGTCTGATTCTTATCTCAATATAAATAACTTTTATGTGCAAGCCCAGCTTCACAGGGGCTTAATAAGCCAGGGCAATTAAGTCTTGTTTGCTAGCTTGCGTCTATGGACATAAAACGTCGTGTGGTGTTATGGTGTCGTGATCGTCAAAGGTGGGAGGAGAGGGTTATTCACCTTTGATTTGCCGTTTTGAATGCTTTCACGGCACTATCAGAAAGACGCTCCAAACTTCATTCGTGTTACTTCTTTGTTTTCCGTGTGATAACTTATATATGCTGTGTTATAAATCTCAGGACCTCTACCGACATTATCCGCACCACTCCAAGACAATACAAAACACGCGGGGGACGAAAAAATCCCCTCTTCATCGCAGAAATCTCCAGTTGTTTCCCAAGCAACAACAAACTCAGTTGCTTCTCAAACAGCAAACAAAGATTCACCCAAAGCCGACAAGGAGCAGGGCTACGCGCCAACCGTAACAAGCGGGGCTCCAATTTTGGCTAAAGGAGCCAAACTTGGAGGTCAACTGGCGTCTGTTCAACCAATAGACAAAGAGCAGCATCACAAGGGTGGTTTTGTGCACACACTGACAGCCAATGACGGAACGAAGGCTCAGGTTTACCTTAGCAGAAATGGAGCCCATGCGGGCATAGTATTCAGAAACGAAATATCCAGAGGTAAGCCAAAAAACAATTAATTCAGTTACAACTATAATCGAATTTGATAAGCTCAATTTTGCAGTTATTTTAAATAAAATTTTTCTCGCGTTGAGTATAAGTAATTTAGTCCCAATTTGTGTAACTTAGATCAGGATGACTGAGAGCGTGTGTGCAATTATCTTCACAGTTGCAATGAATACAAGAAAGTGTTCATGTTGGGGGGGAGGGGGAGTAGTAGTGCAGTTGTTCAGATAGTTACATTGATCCGAAGTCCGAATCCAAATTGCAGACTCCGTGTTACATTTCCCAGCAAGTTTGTGCAGGTATTCAGGTCAAAATTTTGCAATAAGTGAGTGCACTTTTTCCAGTGGAACGTTTGAGTGTTCATATACTCAACATTTCTGTTCGATGAGGAGAGGCTGTAATACAACGGCAAAAGGTGTGAATTGAGCGCCATGGTTGAAAAGACAGACCAGAAGTGAATAAGGAAGCGAAGGAACTGGACCCGAAAATCTATCTGAGAGCCTGCGGCAACAGAGGGTTTCATTTTCATAATACTTTATCTTGAACTCATACTTACCATAATATAACTTTATATATACATATTTTTTTTTGTTTTCCATAGTGACTTCAGATGAGGATACGACAGGAGTGAAAAGGACGATAAATGTGCTGTAACAATTTTGAAATGTTTTCCATCATAAAACTAATCAACAGGAGTCTGTCTAAATACCGTAGAATGACTGGACAGTAGTTTTCAAGGTCGTTTAAAGCTGATATTCAAAGCAGTCACTGCTGATAAACGCATCGCATAAAAAGGAATAGATAATGTTCTAAACCTCAGTAAAATCACGAGATCTGACGATTCCCCTTGTAGATTTTGTACATTCACTTGTAAATTTATTAATAGAATATGAAGTTACATTGTGTTATATATCCTTGGTAGTATAGTTTGTTTAGAGTCGTATGGGAAGGGTCGGGTAATCTGCAGTTTTCAAACAAACAGAGTCGCACCTATTGGCGCCGTGAAGGATTGAGACAATGCAATGCCATCACGATAATAACATTTTATTTATTTTCGTTATTATACCAGTATTATTCAGAATCTTAAATTATGATTAACTTGAATTTTAAGGACTCCAAATACAGTAGCATGGATTAATTATTCTATGAAGAAAAGTTAAGTGCAAGGCAGGAAGGCTTGTATGGGTTTTAAGAGTCCATATGGGGATTTAAAGTACACTGGTACCCAGAATATCACAGAAAGCATATGACGGTTTGAGTCAAAAGTTCACTCTGAAAATGTGATTAAAATTTCATTCAGTGCTGCTGCAACTGAAAAACGCTGAAGAAAATGATGATGACCGAGATAAATGTGTTAATTAAAAAATGGTAGGAGTAAATAAACCTGATGATAGTGGGCGATATCTTTCAAAAAATAATAAAATTGATTCACAATGAAGATTTCAATTGTTTATTGCGTTTTTGATATGCGTTTCCGGTGTAAAATTTATTGGGTTTTATAAAGGGTTGTTTCTATCTTCAGGATTTCATTACGTGCACACACCCCGATCCAATAAACCAAGTATTTCCCCTCTTTTTAGCCTCTTACAAGTCTTGTTAGGCACCTTAATCTGGCTGTTATGAATGTATAAGCAGAAAAGGCTCATCAAATACGCGCCATTTTCAAACAGTGAAACAAGGAAATTAAAATAACAATAAAAAATACAGTGAGATTGACGGCAAGATGTAATGCTAAGATGGCGCTCTTTGGTCTCAAGTAAAAACATAACATTACCGTTTAGACGTATACAAATTGGCCATTTTAATTTCCAGTGTAGAAACGGGACAAAAGCAACTAGCAAATGATAAACACGTGCTGGGAGTCTTTGCCCTTTTCTCCACTAGAACAAGGCGTTCTGTCAACGAGATGTACATTTATAGCGTACGATACAGATCGCTTGAGATCAGTGTAAAAGAAGTAAGCAAGCATGAAAACGCATTGGTTAATTCTATCTTCTGGCTGCTATTAAAGATTGCACTTAGGAGTAGAATCATCAAAAACCCATGAAGGAAGATGTTAAAAAATGGGAGGCACTTATACTCCTTAAGGATAATAAAAAAGATTAATATGTTAAATTCAAAGAGCCTAATCTTAAAATTAGCATGCAGACATAAAAGCACTGCACATAGGTTTAATATCAAAAAAGGCTATTTATTTTTTTCTTATTATTTTTTGGGCTCGTTTGCTTTTCTGCTTTGATTTTCATGCATTTTTTCGGTTTGAACCAAGTGCTATTTCCAAGGAAATACCTGTTCCTTTTCTTTCCTTGTTGTAATAGTGTATATGTGTTTGAATAAAAGGTTTGATAAGACTTCAGAGTTGTGCTAATCAAATAATAAAAGATTTGTTCGAAAAAAAGCCTAACCTCCTCCCCCAGCTCTTCCTTCCCGAACGAAAACAACAATGAAAACGACACCGGAAAATTCCTGGGTAACAACAGGTATGTTCAGAAAATCTCCAAACATAATGTCGCGAAGCGCGAACTCAGATACTCAAATGGACTGTACACGTTCGTATGTTGGCTCCACTGAAAGGACTTCTTGTTTCATAGAAGCTACAAACAGCCAAAGAGTTTCATGAACGAAAGAGTAAATTTGACATTCTATCCCTATTTTCGCATCACAAGCGCTCGTCACTTCTTGGTCTTGCCAGGATGATGGGATGGGTTTATCATCCCATTTAACAGGTGTCGAGGCTATAGCGTGAAATTTGAACATGAAAACAACTCGAATCGTTGATATCCGAATGTAATTCAAAAAAAGAAATTAGTCCTTTGCCTCCAGAGCACCAAATCGACCTTTCTTCTCAACTAAAAGATATCTTTGATAAAAACATGACTTTACCGCTTAATGAAAATAAAATTAATAAAGCTGTTGAACTGAAGAAATCCCAGGGAAAGCAGGTACCCGTTACTCAGGAGGCAAAATGAACGAAGTGAGCAAACTTGGTTCTAAAATAAGGTTTTCAGTGCTGATTTTAAACCTTCTTGTTCTGCCCTCAAATATTTTTACCAGGATCTCCTTGGATGTATTTAAATTTAATGGTATTTTGAATCGATACCGACGAACTTGATCTTATGAGATTCAAATCCACGTAATTAACTACCACGATTGATCGATGTATAATCTCTCCTTACAGAGTCAGTGCGTCCTCAGACAGATTTGTAAAGAGAAATAAAATTAAGGTTAAGCCTTGACTATAGAACATCATGTCGGCGTTCACCTCGTAAGAACTAAGTATTTAACTAAACATATTGCTTAAACGTTAAGAAGCATATTCATTACACGCTGAGCGAAGGCCTCAATAGAAAGCTGCGATTATAAAAGTTAGAAGTGCACTAAAATAAAAGATACATCGGAGTTCATAGAAACCTATCATGTTAGAGAGAATACGTTTCTACCTCTTGCCTTCTCGCAGCGCCTCCTTGAGCTGTTCATTTGCAATCAGCTGTCCATAGAATGTACAGTGAGTATTTGTAGCTGAGTTTGAGTTTATAAACCTTCAGTTATAACTCCAAGTCTCGATTACTACCTCAGAAAAGAATGTAGGTTTAGTTCCCGGGAGATGAGGTAACCCAAACAAACCGTTACGGTTTAATGAATACTGCGCTCTAATTGGTCCGATATGGGAATATTACCTGTTCATGCCGGTATTATGAGGTAATAGGAGTCACAGGGGTGATTCTTGGATGTTTATGTAATCGGACACACTCAAGTGCATCGGATTGATCGCAGCTAGCGAGTTAGAATGCAGAAAAAGTGGCTTTCGATTTCACGACTGGGTTGATGTGTGAATTCTTCCGTTTCACGCACGAGTGCTGAGGATGTCAGGGCACTGAATATGGACTCAAATTTTGAGAGTAGCTCCATTCTATTTGAATATTATTTTTGTGGAACAAAAATTTCCACTTTCGGAAAAAAAAACCCCTAGAAAACGAGCCGTAGTGTTAAGAAATTCTGAAAGTTACCGTGCCTTTCCGCAAACAGATATCTCCTTGAGTTGTTGGTTAAAACGCGAGGAAAGGATGACGACTCCTACGTTTCGTGTTTATTTTGATTTTGAGCTTCATGCCTACCTCAAAAACTGCGAAAGTAACAGAAATTTACCCTTAAAATACTTAAAATACTTAAATTCGCGATTGAAATATACCTTTTGTGACCGTGGATTCAAGTAAGGGTTCCCTAAGAAACTTAAACACAAATCACTATGCAACTGCAATTATTTTGATTTTCTTCATACTTTGTCGTACTCCGTATCATATTGGTTTCAGTTTGTTTAAATTACGGGGGACAGGAAAAAACAAGCCTTCTAATAAATAACACGATGGAACTCACAACACACAATTTATCACTCTTAAATAAAAGCCAACGTTTGTCTGGTATTGAAATCTAATATAGCGGACTTAGCAACGCCCGTGAGCCAATGGGAAACCGCTCTATAATATTTTCAAGGTATGATACAGTGGATAGTAGTCGAAAGCTTTCGTTGATGTGGATAATAATTGTTAACAAAGGAGTTTTTTTTTTATGAAAACATGTCTATAAACAGCTCTACGCCAATGAACTAACTATTTCGACCTTTGAATTGTAAACAGCAGGTGCCACTTACACGCCCGAATGAGAAAGGGCGTTAACATACAAACACCGTGGAAGAACTGGGTGACTAATCATTCTCTCCTGAATTTGAGAATGAAGCTTACCTCGGTTTCTGTTGCACATAGCGACTAAGTTTGTCGCTTCTGCCATTGGATGGAGAACTATTGGACTGTTATTACCTTGGTAGACAGAGAGAGAGAGAGAGGAACTCTCCAAAGTGCTTCGAGGAGCGCTTAAACCGGAACCTTTCATCCCACAGTCTAGACTGCGGAATTTTTAGGTCCTAGCTTCTTTCATATTCTAGTATCTCCTTCTCTGAATTTTATGATTTTCCATGTTAATAGAGAAATTCCGTTGTTTTCTAGAGAAATTTATGTTAAGAGTCAGGCGTTCGCGCGGCAGAGGACTGGACATCCTGAGCTGGTAGACGTCATATGACGTCATATGACAAAAGCCATGTGCTTGTGAGTCGAGTGATGCGAATCGAAGAAGTTGCAATGTTATGTTTAATCGGTGAAGAATACACATGAAAAACCTTAAAACCGTCTGCATATTCTGTGTAACATTTAGCGCGGTGGAATTCTGGGTTGTACGACACATTCACGTTGATTTCATGGGGACCTCAATTTTTTAATAGAATTTACTTGAAAGATATTGTCTGACATTTCTTGTTGCGCACGAAATAATTTCCGTTTCATTTTTTTTTTTCGTAGTTTATTTGCCTACCCGAGGAGGCTGCAATTTTACAGCTTCAACTCGTTCTAGCCATTTGGTTTTACCAAAAATGTTACGACTTCTTTTGGCACAGTTTCGCCAAGCCCACGATTTTTGGCGATCTTATCGGAAAAAAATTGTCAATTTTGCTTTCCTCTCCTTATAGTGCCGTCTACAATCCCAAACCTCGCACGATATGAAAGAAAGGAAAAAAACGGTTAAAAAGGATAGATTAATAGAAAAGTTCCTTTACGCAAAGGAAATCAAAGAATGTTATAAAAATAAGCATTCTCTCAACCATCATTTATTAATCTCTGATTAATAAATCAGTTTTGCTAAACTCGTAAATGTTCCTTGATTCCGGTTCAAAGTCTTGAAAAACTGAAATGCAAAACTTCTACTTCGGGCATGCCTTTTCATGTCAACATGATATCAAAATTGGCTTCTCTTCTATTGTTTATTGGAAAGTTATTGTTTTTAATTCAGTAGTGTGATCCGGTATTGTCCTTTGAATGCCTGCACTTTCGCAATCTCTTCAGCTATTTCCAGCAGGTTCATTGTTGGGTTTTTTCTGCCGAAGGATATTTAAATTCAAAACACCTCTTCAACCAATGAGAAGGACTTTAGACTACACAATTAGATGCATTTTGTGCACAGATAGTGTAAACTTTTATTAAATTTGTAACGGTGAATTTTTGAACAGTTAATTACAGCGCGTTCAAGTGAGTTTTCTCAGTTAAAGACATTTCACTTCGTTGGCTGATCTCTTCGCACAAAAAATCGTTCTGTATTAGAAGTGTTTACTGCACCATTGGAAACTGCCACTGGAAAATGGCAGATCATACGGTACAATTTACAACTACGAACTCTACGCAAGAGGAAGATGTCTACCTTCGGATCATTAACATTCCCGGGTTCTGGTTGACTTTAGCTGTAGTTGGCTTCGCAATGTCTGCAGTTATTGTGATTTCGAACGGTGTCTTGCTTCTCGTGATTTACAAGAATCCTTGCAGATCGTTTCGCTCGCCCCCAAATCTCCTCATCGCTAATTTAAGTGCCTCTGAATTTCTTCTTGGAATTTTTGTTGTATACTTAGTAGCCTTGAGGGATTTGTTCCGATATCTAAGGGTAGCTGTACCATATGTGGGAGTCTTCAAGAATGCCATCTACGTAGTGCTTTCTGCAACGCTTTTTGTGGGCAGCTCGACCATCGTTGCTTTGTCAATAACTTGCTATGTTGCCATCAACAAACCGATGGTGTACAAGACCAGGTTCACTGAAGAGAGAATGAAGATTTTAATTGGCTTTATATGGATTGCAGCTGTCCTAATTTCCTTTCTTCCAGCAACAGAGTTGCCTGAGAGGATATATTGTCTCGTATATCTCCATACACACGTTTCGCTACCGGCCATGTTGCTGCTGTTTGTGTACATTTACATATTTCGCGCGCTTTCCAGGCGAACTCAAGAGGTTTATCGTAGCTTCAAAAGCTCCTCAGGGATGCAAAGGAGACAGACTCTGGCTCGGGAAAGAAATATGCTAGTCGCTGTCGTGACTATTCTTGCGTTGTTCTTCATCACATACATTCCACAGTATACTACTCGTCATTTATCGTATTTTTGCAAAAGCTGCACTGACTCAGCTACATTCCATCAAATTGACATCATCTCTTCTCGTTTCTTGTTTCTTAGTTCTGCGATTGATCCATTTATCTACGCCTGGAGGATCAAAAAATATCGCCGAGCTTTGAAAAATTGTTGGAAAAATCATCCGATCATCATCGAAGGCTCGCGAAATATTTCAAGGCCAACTGGACAAACTCTGTTTGCTAGGATAAACTTTACACATAGTAATAGTTATTTCTCAAGTCCGGTTCGAAATCGTACTCTAGAGCACTAGTTTTTAAGTCATTAGTTCTGACAAGTCTTTTTTGTAATACATGAACGATTAATAAACAATGTTGCAGTGAGATGTCTCAGTTAAAAAATTCTAAACTAAAAAAATAAAAAAATTATCGAATCTAATAGAGAAAGAGATAACAGGGCATCTTCGAAGGAGGGAGGGAGGGAGGGACGGGGCAGTATGTATTTTTTTTGAGTCACGGATGTAATAAAAACATGTAAGGTATTAGAATATATCACACAAGTGAATAGTACTTTTCGTGTGCGCTGATTGAAGTGCTTAGCAGGTACTCCTCACTTCCGGGCAGCCAAAGTGACACAATTGCGCTTCAACAATTTAATTTCCAACACTTTTTTCGACGAAAAATATATTTTCCGTCTTCTGTGTGCTATATACCAAAACAATTAAAAGTGGTGAATATTTACCTTACCGCTTTGCGGCCAGGCAAATATCCACCACTATTCAGGCTTGTCAGATTGAAATAATAAAGTACGTACAGTCAATTGCTATTGAGATTTCCTTTTTAATTTCAATATGGGTATCCCTAAGGAATATTTAGATACCCGGTTTCACCACCATTGTCGCCTTAAGGTACATTCTGTGATCTCCTATCAGACCACTTCCCGAAAAAGCCATTCTCCTCGAGGGGAGGGAGAGGGGGTAGAATTATTCGAGCGCTTACGGCATGTTACATTTTAGAAGATTTTAGATAAAGTATTGTTATTTTTGTATGTCAAACTAACAATGTTTCTTTAATGTGTTGGTGACTCACATCATGTCGATTATATTTCTAAAATTCAAAACCGGCCGAAAGCACAATTGCTGCACAGATGTTAGAGAATATGTACCCATAGTAACTTGGAATGAATGGACAGTGCTGTCATAATAATATTCATCCTAAGATAATGATGTGGAAAAGCTGTTTGCAGACGGCTTTCTGTACATGAGTTCATTTATTTAAAGGCCGCTCGATCTGAATCGAAGAGAGGGAGGAGCGGAAAGACATTTCAGGTATTTATTTGTTTAAGTTTAAAATGTCGATACAAGAAGAAATAAGATTAAACATCACTATAATATGACACAATAAACCGAGTAAAGGGCGGATCTTTGAATATTAAAGGACAAACGATTATTTTCATTTTCTCAATATTCAAACAAGGCAATTATGAATTACTAAATATATACTTTTTATTTCAAGGGCTGATAAAGAAATTCATAGTTACTCAGATCTGCCATCAAGTCCTGCACTTAAGCCTTAGAAAAGGGAGGATTAGTTATTAATTTTTCGTATACCACTTTTCAATTATTATTTAGACTTTCTTCGCTGGGATAATAACAGTAACACGTTTTTTATTGGCGCCTTCACAGAAGCGGAAATACAGGTAAGAATAAACGAACCATCTGCGGAATCATAACATTGGAGAAAAAGTAACTGTAAAGGCAGGCGAGAGGTAAATTTTAAAAGAATCTCTTTATAACCCCTCCTTTCTGGCGTTAGAACATTTTTAAATTGCAGTAAATTGTTCTTTTTATCAAATGTACTAAAATGTGATTGAGGAAGTTCCCCTTAAAGCCTCAGTTAAGCGCAACAGTGTCTTGAAAATATAATATCCTCTTTATGATATAGCTGTACCTTGTCGTTTTCCAATGCTTTGTGAGGTAAACAGCCTCGGTATCTTTGATCTATGATTATTCAACTAACATACAAGGCACCTAACCTGCAAAAAAAATGCCTTATTTAATCAAATTCTTAAACTCACCTTTAATATTCAAACTTCCCCCGTGTCCAACAGCTGAAAACGGGAAGATGGCGTCTAGAATGATCCTCTGGGGCTTCGTTATTGCTCTCTGTAAGCACTGTTGTTTTTTTTTTAAACAGAATATCAAATTTAGGGACTAAAGGTCTTATTTCCAAAGCATTAGAAATCGTTACCTTTTGGTTTTTGGTCACACGTGAATACCGCTTATGTAACGAAAATTTCAGGCCTACATAGGATGCACTCGTGAGATGGCGAGTGACACGTGCACTGAGAAAATGCGGCGGAGAGCCTCTGCTAGAGGGATTACTAAACTCAAGTTACCGATCTTTGGTAAATTATGAGACAACACAGTATCGAAGTTGATTTCCGCCTCTTTGTCGAGTCCGATCTTCGTTCCTCTCTGAGAAACACGACTTAACACGTGAGCTACAGACCACGTCCGTGACATGGTTATGTGATTATAATTCAGCGCAAGTGATATTATAATTATTAATATTATTATATTCTGATATTACTATTCAGTGCAGATGATAAAAAAGCAAAAAAATTATCGATTCTATTCATTCAATTTTCACTGACTAAGTTGTACTAAAAAATAATCATCTCTAAAATCGTTAAAAAAAAAACGCGCCTCATCCACTACGCTTAAAAGAAACTTCTATCCTTCTACTTGTTGTTGTTCGGAATCAAACGCGCGTCCGTGCAGTAATGTGATTAACGTTCGATATGGAAACAGTGCGTCTGTCAAAAAGGCGTTTAATTAAAATTTCATTTGTGAAATCTCAATTGCAAACCAAAACATGGTAGGAGAGGATCAAATGCGTATCCTACGGAAAGCGATACCTAAATAACGATATCCAAGAGCTTAGGACGACTGAGGTTAAGGTCGTTGTGCATTTGTGTTGTTCCACTTAGCGCGCGAAAGCTTCTCGCCATTTAACATTATGTTTCAATAGCTTTGGTGAAATTGACTTCTCTCAAGATAAGAGCGAGGAGTCTCCCGCTTTGTTCTCTCGTTTTCTCTTGATTTTGCAGTTGCGTTAATAGCGGAAGTACGCCTTCAGAGAGTTGTTCCATCGTTCCGCTCAAATAAACTTTTGCGGGCTCCAAAGGGACATTATGTGGAACTGAATTTCAGCTTGGGGACTTCACATGCAACACCATGCATTGATAATATGTATCTTGAGGTTCGTGATGGATACAAGAAGTCTGCCAATCTTCTTGGTGTATTTTGTGGAGGGAACATTTCTGTTATTGTTCGATCCAGTGGACAGAACTTGTGGGTCAGAAAATCAGATCTTTTCGATGATTTTGGCTGGTTTCGGGGCTCGTACGCCAACAAAACACTCAACTTTACAGGTATCGTCCTCTGAAATTACTAACTGAAACAATTCTAAAATGTTAATAAGTGGTCGCAACACGGAAGGAATAGATAGCAATTACGAGTACTCCAACTCATTTGGTAATTTCATTTATTTGTTTTCTTCCAGTTGAACCCAACCTAGACAAGGTGGCCAAAATTCAATTTGTTCTTTTTAACCAAACTTCATCTCTTTGGTGTCCAGCGCAGGGTGCACCAGCACCATTTATAGTTTGGAGAAAGAACGGCATCATGGTACAGAACAGTACAAGTATCAAATATCAATTGACCATTACTGAAGAAAACAACGACAAGTACAGCTGTGAAGTGAAGAAACAGGATGATCTTGACAAGGAAGAAATCCGTCTTGTCATTGAAAGTGAGTTTTTTTCACAAAAAAATTAAGTGGAGTAAGTTTTAAAAGAAACTGTGGTGCAGCTGGTCGACCCAATGACATATTTGTTTTGTCTTACACTGGAATGGTATCAAGCGTTCACGAGATAACTAGATGGCAGCTATCATTCAAAGTATTCTAATGCACACATTCAGAGAGTACCACTAAAGAGCCTCATTAACTCTCAGTCAGTACATTTATATCGTCTTGCTTTATTTTAGGGTGCCCAGATCCCTGCCGATGTACAATTGCAGTTGGAATCATAGGCACAGCTACTCGCATTGAGTGTCGAGGAAAACACTTACAGTCAGTTCCACGGCACTTGCCCTTTTCTACAGCGAAATTGTAAGCGTTTTAACTCTCCTTCTTTTAGGCTTTTAGGAGGTGGCCGGAGCAGGTGACCGGAGTAGGCTTGGTATCAAACTTGGCCTCAGAATTATAAGGAAAACTAGGAAGAATCTATCATACGTTTTCGGAAAAAAGGTTCTCTTCTAACACCTCTAATGGTGAAAATGACCGTCATTGTCAGTGTTAGAAGTCACTGATATTTTTGACAGAGTAAATGGAAGAGAGTCATCCGCTGAAGTGAGGTAAAGAGCCCTTTGAACAGACTTCTGTCAGAGAATGTTTAAAGCCACAGGCCTTTTACATGTTAATTGTTTGCAACTTAAACATAGCTATAGAAACGAACCGAATTCCCAAATGTTACCGACGATTTTAATGTGACATTTTTTGGCTACGTGATTTTAGTAGTTTATAACATCTAGAGCGAATTTTTCAAATTCGCTTCACTATTCTAGCTTTTAACATTGCCTTGTCAAAACCGCTCTTCTCGATTATGAGTATGAATATCATTAATTACATAGAAATAGTGGAGAGTTTCTTTTATTTTATTTTAAAAAAGGCTAAATAAGAACGATTCTTGAAATTCAGTTAGCATCAAGCAAATTGGACAATAAGCTGAGATTTACTTTTAGGCAAACGTCTTTGTTGTGTGAAAGATCCTCGAATAATATTAGCTTTCACGATGATGTAATCTATTTTTCTGAGTTTATTTGTTTTATTTGCATATGGGAGATTTCCTGCATGGCCGGTGCTAGTAAGAGAAATTTTTTTTTATACTGCAAACCTGGTAATTGACTGATGTACAATTTCTCTCCGGCAATTTCCAAAGCAACGCGATAAATTCGACGCAAAACTAGCTGAAAAATGATAATGAACTTGGAAAAATAAGGCACAAACTGCAAAGAAAACGTTGAAAAATCATTTTGAACCTTATGTGAATGTTGTCGTAAAAACTTGCGTGGAAACCAGATAAAGAGGATATCAGCTGAAGTCTTCAAAAACAACTCCAAGTTAGCCTTCTTGTAAGTAACCAGTAAACATTAAATCTATTATTAGTTTGGTCTCGATTCACCCGCCATTTTCGAAGAGTTATGTCACTTACTAACTCTGTGAGAAAAAGGTTTTCTAGCCGATTAGTTTTTGATATGTGTCTGGAACGCATTTTAAAAAATGCATAACTAAAATCCATGATGTATCCTTTTTGTAGGAGCTTAGCAAGGAACCAGATAAAGGAGCTACCAGCGGGAGTTTTCACTAACAACAACAAGTTGCTCAACTTGTGAGTAGGAAGACTAAAAGTTCATAGTCGACCTATATATTTTTACTGTAAAATCCTTCTCCAAACTCTTGTTAATTCTAAAAAACTCAAATATTATCGAACGACAACAAGTTGCCTAATAATTTAGTTACTAATGAGTCAAGCCACAATCGTTTTGACAGAGAACCTTACTTTTTAGTTGATCACTGATCTAGGGTACCACAAGATATATATGTCAGCGACTGGGAATGATTCCATCACGTTTATATCCGTCTACGACGTAAACCAAACAAGTTCAGTAGTCGGTATACCCTTCTTGAGAGGGATTAGGTTATGTCCACTTAAATTCCCTTTCGCATTATAGGTATTTTAACACGTTATGCGTTCTTATGTAATGGTATGACGCAGTTTTATCAAAAATTACAGATTTTTAGGCCAAAACAAGATCAAAAACTTGCTTGGTAATTTATTTTCTGTATTGCTAAACCCGCACTAGTTGTAAACAAAGAGTGGTTGTTTTACATTACCTATTGCGTAATCGTGTCGAAACGAATAATAATGTCGATAATAGTGTAAAACACAAACCGATTACTGTGCAAGTACCCACCATGATAATGAACATGGAAAAAATATGGCACAAACTGCAAAGAAAACGTTAAAAAACCATTTTGAATCTTATGTTAATGTTGTCGTAGAAACTTGCGTGGAAACCAGATAAAGAGGATATCAGCTGAAGTCTTCAAAAACAACTCCGAGTTGGCCTTCTTGTAAGTAACCAGTAAACATTAAATCTATTATTAGTTTGGTCTCGATTCACCCGCCATTTTCGAAGAGTTATGTCACTTACTAACTCTGTGAGAAAAAGGTTTTCTAGCCGAGTAGTTTTTGTTATGTGTCTGGAACGCATTTTAAAAAATGCCTAACTAAAATCCATGATGTATCCTTTTTGTAGGAGCTTAGCAGGGAACCAGATAGAGAAGCTACCAGCGGGAGTCTTCACTAACAACAACAAGTTGCTCAACTTGTGAGTAGAAAGACTAAAAGTTCATAGTCGACCTATATATTTTTACTGTAAAATCCTTCTCCAAACTCTTGTTAATTCTAAAAAACTCAAATATTATCGAACGACAACAAGTTGCCTAATAATTTAGTTACTAATGAGTCAAGCCACAATCGTTTTGACAGAGAACCTTACTTTTTAGCTGATCACTGATCTAGGGTACCACAAGATATATATGTCAGCGACTGGGAATGATTCCATCACGTTTATATCCGTCGACGACGTAAACCAAACAAGTTCATTAATCGGTATACCCTTCTTGAGAGGGATTAGGTTATGTACACTTAAATTTCCTTTCGCATTATAGGTATTTTAACACGTTATGCGTTCTTATGTAATGGTGTGACGCAGTTTTATCAAAAATTACAGATTTTTAGGCCAAAACAAGATCAAAAACTTGCTTGGTAATTTATTTTCTGTATTGCTAAACCCGCACTAGTTATAAATAAAGAGTGGTTGTTTTACATTACCTATTGCGTAATCGTGTCGAAACGAATAATAATGTCGATAATAGTGTAAAACACAAACCGATTACTCTGCAAGGACCCACCATGATAATGAACATGGAAAAAATATGGCACAAACTGCAAAGAAAACGTTAAAAAACCATTTTGAATCTTATATGAATGTTGCCGTAGAAACTTGCGTAGAAACCACATAAAGAGGATATCAGCTGAAGTCTTCAAAAACAACTCCGAGTTGGCCTTCTTGTAAGTAACCAGTAAACATTAAATCTACTATTAGTTTGGTCTCTATTGACCCGCCATTTTCGAAGAGTTATGTCACTTACTAACTCTGTGAGAAAAAGGTTTTCTAGCCGCGTAGTTTTTGTTATGTGTCTGGAACGCATTTTAAAAAATGCCTAACTAAAATCCATGATGTATCTTTTCTGTAGGAGCTTAGCAGGAAACCAGATAGAGGAGCTACCAGCGGGAGTCTTCAGTAACAACAACAAGTTGCTCAACTTGTGAGTAGGAAGACTAAAAGTTCGTAGTCGACCTCTATATTTTTACTGTAAAATCCTTCTCCAAACTCTTGTTAATTCTAAAATACTCAAATATTATCGAACGACAACAAGTTGCCTAATAATTTAGTTACTAATGAGTCAAACCACAATCGTTTTGAGAGAGAACCTTACTTTTTAGTTGAACACTGATCAAGAGTACCACAAGATATAAATGTCAGCGAATGGGAAAGATTCCATCACGTTTATATCCGTCGACGACGTGAACCAAACAAGTTCAGTAGTCGGTATACCCTTCTTGAGAGGAGTTAGGTTATGTCCACTTAAATTCCCTTGCGCATTATTAGTATTTAAACACGTTATGAGTTCTTATGTAATTGTATGGCGCAGTTTTATCAACAATTACAGATTTTTAGTCCGAAACAATTATCAAAAAGTTGCCTGGTAATTTATTTTTTGAATTGCTAAACCTTGCACTGGCTATAAATGAAGAGTGATTTTTTACATTAACTATTGCGTAATCGTGTCGAAACGAATAGTAATGTCGATAGTAGTGTAAGACACAAACAGATTATCGTGCAAGGACCTACCAACACGTAGTAATAGATATGTGCACGGATTATTTACATGTTCAAATTCTCCGAATGTCGAGGCTCGTGCCTTAGCGATATTGGTAGGAACCTCAAAACAACTCCTATTGCAACCATTCGAGCGCCTACAAATGGTGATGTCAGCAACTGTTCAACTTAAATGCAGGACATATCCCCATTTTAAGGACTTAGACAACAACCAAATAGAGGAGCTACCTCCTGAAGTTTTTCATAACAACTCGCAGTTGGTCGTTCTGTAAATAAGTAAACTTAATGCTTTTGTTTCTACTGGCACTTGATGTGTTAAGAATTATTACATACCACACCCTCAGTGTATGTAGCCAACCATGAAGGCAGTGGAAAAGGGTATAGTGGTTTGTAGTTTTGCAGTGTCGGACTGCTAGAAGTAAACTCGCCTCTTTGGACCATCTTTTGGTTTAATAAATGACAAAACACTGTAATTTTCAAACAAAGCCACCAATCTAGGTTGTTGGTCTTAGCTTTGACGACTATATATTCTATTTTTCTGAGTTTATTTGTTTTGTTTGCATATGGTAGATTTCCTGCATGGCTGCTGCTAGTTAGAGAAGATTCTTTTTCATACTGCAAACCTGATAATTGGCTGATGTACAATTTCTTTCCGATTTTTCCCAAAGGAACGTGATAAATCCAACGCAAAATTAGCTCAAAATGATAATGAACTTGGAAAAATATGGCACAAACTGCAAAGAAAACGTTGAAAAATTGTTTTAAATCTTGTCGTAGAACTTTGCGTGGAAACCAGATAAAGAGGATACCAGGTGAAGTCTTCAAAAACAACTCCGAGTTGGCCTTCTTGTAAGTAACCAGTAAACATTAAATCTATTATTAGTTTGGTCTCGATTCACTCTCCATTTGCGAAGAGTTATGTCATTGACTAACTTTGTGAGAACAGGCTTTTAAGCCAGATGGTTTTTGTTATCTAACTGGATGGCATTTCAAAAATGCCAAATTAAAATCCATCATGTATCCTTTTTGTAGGAGCCTAAGAAGGAACCAGATAGAGGAGCTACCAGCTGGAGTCTTCAGTAACAACAACAAGTTGCTCAACTTGTGAGTAGGAACACTAAAAGTTCATAGTCCACCTACATATTTTTACTGTAAAATCCTTCTTCAAATTCTTGTTAATTTGAAATACTCAAATACTATCGAACGACAACAAGTTGCCTAATAATTTAGTTACTAATGAGTCAAGCCACAATCGTTTTGAGAGAGAACCTTACTTTTTAGTTGATCACTGATCTAGGGTACCACATGATATATATGTCAGCGACTGGGGAAGATTCCACCACGTTTATATCTCTTGGTGACGTGAACCAAACAAGTACAGTAGTCGGTATACCCTTCTTGAGAGGGATTAGGTTATGTTCGCATAACCATAGCATATGGTTATATAGCATATGTCCTTGCGCATTATTGGTATTTAAACACGTTATGCGTTCTTATGTAATCGTATGACGCAGTTTTATCAACAATTACAGATATTTAGACCGAAACAAGTATCAAAAAGGTGCCTGGTAATTTATTAGCTGAATTGCTAAACCTTGCGCTGGTGATTGACTGATGTACAATTTCTTTCCGATTTTTACCAAAGCAACGTGATAAATCCAACGCAAAATTAGTTCAAAATGATAATGAACTTGGAAAAATATGGCACAAACTGCAAAGAAAACGTTGAAAAAATTGTTTTAAATCTGATATGAATCTTGTCGTAGAACTTTGCGTGGAAACCAGATAAAGAGGATACCAGCCGAAGTCTTCAAAAACAACTCCGAGTTGGCCTTCTTGTAAGTAGCCAATACACATTTAATTTATTATTAGTTTGGCTTTCAAGCCAGATGGTTTTTGTTATCTGACTAGAAGGCATTTCAAAAATGTCCAACTAAAATCCATCATGTATCCTTTTTGTAGGAGCTTAAGAGGAAACCAGATAGAGGAGCTACCAGCTGGAGTCTTCAGTAACAACAACAAGTTGCTCAACTTGTGAGTAGGAAGACTAAACGTTCATAGTAGACCTACGTATTTTTACTGTGAATCCTTCTCCAAATTCTTGTTAATTTAAAATAATCAAATGCTATTGAACGACAACAAGTTGTGTAATAATTTAGTTACTAATGAGTCAAGCCACAATCGTGCTGAAAGAGGAACCTTATCTCTTAGCCGACCACTGATCTAGAGTACAACAAGATATATATATGTCAGCGACTGGGTTCCATCACAATTGTGTCCCTAGACGACGTGAACCAAACAAGTTCAGTAGTCGGTATACCCTTCTCGAGAGGGGTTAGGTTACGTCCTCTTAAATATCATTGCCCATGAAAGGTAATTAAACACGTCATGCGTTCTTTTGTAAGAGAGTGACGCAGTTTTATTATCAGTTACAGATTTTTAGGCCGATACAATATCAAAAAGTTGCCTGGTAATTTAATTGCTGAATTGCCAAACCTGTACTAGCTATAAGTAAAGAGTGGTTGTTTTACATTACCTATTGCGTGATCGTATCGAAACGAATAATAATGACGATAATAGTGTAAAGCACAAACTGATAACTGAAATCAGGTAATATCATTTCCTAGGGAATTGGGTAACAACCGGATCAAGGAGCTGCCACCTGGAGTCTTCAATAACAACACTGAGTTGATCTCACTGTACGTAACCTGCCTCTTTTGATAATAGCCTTATATGTTCCAAGAGTTTAATCCTGTTATTAACTAAATGTGATCAAGAAGGTCCTGAAGCTTAGTAAGTGTAGTTAGCCTTGAAGAGGGTGAAAGAGAGTGGGACAGCTCATAGATGGACGGAGTTAAACAGAAAAGAGAAACCTACCTTAATTACACAATTCATTCAGTTTCATAAATGATCATATAGTAGCGTCTAACGTTAGTCCACGTTTAGTAAATCCCAATTTCTATTCCTTTGATAACTTTGTTTTATTTGCCAGTATGAAAAGGAGATTTCAAGTGTTCTCTCTCAGAACAGGCTTGCCCTTCGCACTTCTTTTCACACCAATACCACAGTCAAATGCGAACAAGATTTGTACTTCGCCAAGGATTGTTGAAACAAAGCTTTCTTACCTTACAGTTTGTCGTATTAAAGCTGAATAAATTACTTTCGAAGTCAGTAGTTGTTAGTTCCAACGGACAGTTCATAGATGGACGGAGTTACACAGAAAAGAGTAACCTACCTTAATTTCACAATTCATTCAGTTTCATAAATGATCATATCTTAGTGTCTAACGTTGGTCCACGTTTAGTAAATTCCAATTTCTATGCTATGTTTTACTTGCCGTATGAAAAGGAGATTTCAAGTATTCTCTCTCAGAACAGGCTTGCACTTCGCACTTCTTTTCACAACAATACCACAGTCAAATGCAAAAAAGATTTGTAATTTGCCAGGGATTGTTGAAACAAAACTTTCTTACCTTACAGTTCGTTGTACGGCAACAAGATCAATATTTCGACCAACAATACATTCTCCCATTTAACTAAGCTGCAGTGGCTGTAAGTGACAAGTCTTCCTCGTATATCAGCCATTACAAGTGTCACAACTCACATCATCACCCGAATAGTGCATATTCCTTTTCATCGTTCACATCCTTCAACTCTTAAATAACTGCGTAGCATACAGACCGATAAAGAACGTCCGCAATCAATGATCAAAGATGTAACGGCTAAATCTAACAAGAGACAAGATCTCAGTAACAAGATCAGGTACCTCAAAGGCCAAGCCTCGTGTGAATCTGTTTTGAGTCGCAAATTAAAACAAGGGTCGTATTAAAGCTGAATAAATTACTTTCGAAGTCAGTAGTACTTTTATTAACATTTACAGATTTTTAGGCCGATATAATATCAAAAAGTTGCCTGGTAATTATTTGCTGAATTGCCAAACCTGCACTAGCTATAAGTGAGGAATGGTTGTTTTACATTACCTATTGCGTAATCGTGTCGAAACGAATAATAATGACGATAATAGTGTAAAGCACAAACCGATTACTGTATAACTAACAGAAAAATAGAGTAAAAACACTTGCAATAGCAACAATTTTTAACTGAAAACAGGAAATACCTTTTCCTAGGGAATTGGGTAACAACCAGATCAAGGAGCTGCCACCTGGAGTCTTCAATAACAACACTGAGTTGATCTCACTGTACGTAACCTACCTCCTCTAATAATAGCCCTTGATTTTCCAAGAGTTGAATCTTATTATTAACTAAATGTGATCAAGAAGGTCCTGAAGCTTAGTAGGTGTAGTCAGCCATGAAGAGGGTGAAAGAGAGTGGGACAGCTCATAGATGGACGGAGTTACACAGAAAAGAGTAACCTACCTTAATTTCACAATTCATTCAGTTTCATAAATGATCATATCTTAGCGTCTAACGTTGGTCCACGTTTAGTAAATTCCAATTTCTATGCTATGTTTTACTTGCCGTATGAAAAGGAGATTACAGTGTTCTCTCTCAGAACAGGCTTGCACTTCGCACTTCTTTTCACAACAATACCACAGTCAAATGCAAAAAAGATTTGTAATTTGCCAGGGATTGTTGAAACAAAACTTTCTTACCTTACAGTTCGTTGTACGGCAACAAGATCAATATTTTGACCAACAATGCATTCTCCCATTTAACTAAGCTGCAGTGGCTGTAAGTGACAAGTCTTCCTCGTATATCAGCCATTACAAGTGTCACAACTCACATCATCACCCGAATAGTGCATATTCCTTTTCATCGTTCACATCCTTCAACTCTTAAATATCTGCGTAGCACACAGACCGATAAAGAACGTCCGCAATTAATGATCAAATATGTAACGGCTAAATCTAACAAGAGACAAGATCTCAGTAACAAGATCAGGTACCTCAAAGGCCAAGCCTCGTGTGAATCTGTCTTGAGTCGCAAATTAAAACAAGGGTCGTATTAAAGCTGAATAAATTACTTTCGAAGTCAGTAGTTGTTAGTTCCAACATTTTGAGCTTTAGAAAGCCTATTGGTCCTGACCTAGAGTGCCAAAAGATATATTTGTTAGCGAGTGGGGAAGATTCCATCACTTTTTTATCCGTCGGCGACATGAACCAAACAAGTTCAGTAGTCGGTATACCCTTCTTGAGAGGGGTTAGGTTATGTACACTTACATTCCCTAGCGCATTATAGGTATTTAAACACGTTATGTGTTCTCATGTAATCTTATGGCGTACTTTTATTAACATTTACAGATTTTTAGGCCGATACAGTATCAAAAATTTGCCTGTTAATTTATTTGCTGAATTGCTAAACCTGCAATACTTATAGGTGAAGAGTGGTTGTTTTACATTACCTATTGCGTAATCGTGTCGAAACGAATAATAATGACGATAATAGTGTAAGGCACAAACCGATTACTGTACAACTAAAAATAGAGTAAAAACACCTGCAATAGCAACAATGTTTAACTGAAATCAGGGACTATCTTTCCCTAGGGAGTTGGCTGACAACCAGGTCAAGGAGCTGCCACCTGGAGTCTTCAATAACAACACTGAGTTGATCTCACTGTACGTAACCTGCCTCTTCTGATAATAGCCCTTGATGTTCTAATAGTTGAATCTTATTATTTACTAAATGTGATCAAGAAGGTCCTGAAGCTTAGTAGGTGTAGTCAGCCATGAAGAGGGTGAAAGAGAGTGGGATAGCTCATAGATGGACGGAGTTACACAGAAAAGAGTAACCTACCTTAATTACACAATCCATTCAGTTTCAAGGGTCGTATTAAAGCTGAATAAATTACTTTCGAAGTCAGAGTTGTCAGTTCCAACACTTTGAGCTTCAGAGAGCCTAAATTTCAAACAATATAACAAACAATATAACACTTTTTAACTCTTCTCCTCTGCAGACAACTTAACAGAAACGACCTAAAAGAGTTACAAGAGGGTTTGTTTGATGGTTTAAGAGCATTGACACACCTGTGAGTAAAGAAAATAAAATTTCCAAAATAAAAATGGAAATAGTTAAAAATATTGTGTGACGAATCGCACACCAGCAAATTGAATGTGGAAAAAGTAAAAAGGTACCTTGAAAGAAAGGAAACGTACAAAAGTTTTGCTGTAGAAGATCATGATTTTATATCCTAGTTATTATTTTTTGTCGGATGAATGAGCAAAATAATGCGCGGTGAGGATTTTCCAGTAACTTAACAAAATAATAAGAGCCAGACTTATCGAAACTATCAGAAATCAACTTCAACAAAAAGTCAGTAAGTCAGGATGTTTACCAGTATGGTGTTTCTGAAATTAGTTTAAAAAACTCAGCATAATTGAAAGATGTGAAAAGATTTACCTATCATTGCCGTATTATTCTATCTTTTTATAAGACGGCTGCAAGATAACAGAATCAGGAAGCTTTCTAAACACGTGTTCAAAGATTTGACTTATTTGGACGAGCTGTGAAAAGGATAAAAAAGAATTATGGTTACAAAAAAAATGGGCTCTTTCAATATTAATGTACTCCTCCTTTAAATGGTAGAAGTATTCAAAAAGTTGCAGCGGGGTTGCGTTTATACAAAACGTGCGCGAGCAAAGACATTTGATGGATCATAACTGAATGTACACTGATTTTATAAAAGCACATGATGGGCCTATTTGAAGTCGCTTAAAAAAATTGTAATTGAGAACGATTGTATTGTATTAACATTATGGAAGGCAGCGTAACCGGAAGGTGAGAGCGTCGGAATTTCATCGACTTGCTGTTCCGACGTAGTCCTACTGCCTGAGGAGAAACCAGTTACTGTTATTACTAAGCATATAAGACCAATCTTGATAACCCTGTCTCTGACCGAGCTGGGTGTGTAAGTATCTACGTAGGCCTAGGTACTCTAAGAAGATCGATCCGAGCCAATCTGGCGTTACTCCAAAATCTTCTACGCTGCATGCTCTCATCTCCCCAAAGGTAGTCGAAGTGCAATCCAAAGCGCTGCAAAATGCAGCAGTACAGAAGTAGTCAGCTTGCAACAATCTTCAGATGAACTCAGATGAGTGCAAATAATTGATTATTGACTTCAAGAGAACAAACACCAGTTCGACGCCGTAACCGTCAACTCCAAGGACCTTGAACTTGTTGCCCAAACCACATATCGGGGGTAACCACGTCTAATAACTTTCAATGGAATTGCTAAGGGCCAATATGCTCACACATTTCTTGATCTTACTGAAGTGAGAGAATATTCAGGCTCGTGATATCGTGTGCTTTTATATATCTCACCTGTATTAAGCCAGTGTTAGAGTATTTTGCGCCCTTGCATTAACTGCTTATTTAAGGGAAGACTTTAAGCATGATCAGGAACGTGCGCTTTCTCATTATTTCTCCTGGCCTTCCATATCATTACAATCGAGCATTTTATAACATCAGAACTTTGAAATACAGGCGCAAAAAACATGGTCATAAATTCTTTTACTCAGACGTAACTAATACTGCGCATAAACTCCATCATCTGCTACCACCCAAGGATATTCAGAGATATAATTTTAGCCCAGCCAGCACACTCTTATGTTGCCAGAAATTCGCACTAGTCGTTACACGAACACATTTATTCCATCCATGTCCAATTAGTAGAACTTTTATGCGTTATAATTATTTTATGTTACACAAAGTTATTATTTTATAAAATTACATACGACTTAAACTTTTCGTAGATTTCATGTAATTCAGCCTTAGGAGGCCGCGAATCTGAACATTTTAATAAACGTTCTCTCACATCCCTCTCCCTCTCCCTCCCTCCCCCTCGAGTTTTGAAATAACCAGTACGTGGTCCGCCACAGTAGTGGTTTTTGAACATTTTACATTTACTATGAGTAATTCGTTTAAGGATGCGCGAGTAAAGAACGTGAAATCTAAATATAACAAGAGTAGCTTAGTGTTTTTCCTCCGTAAATTATGAAAATAGATTGGCATCTGATAAAATGTAGCGCGAGAGCTCTCTGGCTGTTTCCCTCATACTGTCTCCCTTCATGTGAATTACAATCCGGCTGGTGATATTTTTTTCTGAATTTTCTGAAAAGCATTTCCCCTTGAACCTTTCAGGGATCTGTCTCATAACAAGGTTGGGAATCTGCCACAAGACCTCTGCAGTAACTTAACAAATCTCACGAGCCTGTAAGTCAACAACATTAAAAAAACAAAACTAGCCACGACAAGGAAATCAGTCCTCCTCCTAATCATGTTCGACTCCGGAAAAGTGCTCAATTTCTGTCTTAAACTCAAGAAACGCAAGAGAAAGACGTTTTGAACTTGAAATTGAGTTTTCGTTACAATAATGTTATTAGATTATGTGTCTTTCGACTTGACCTAACCAAACATGTTCACCAAAACGTATCCCACTGAATGAATGCAAAAGACATATCTCTCTATCGTTTGCACTGTAAAAAGAGACCGTCAATCTTACCTGTTACAATCATAAGTTACGGGAGCTATTTTGTTTTCCCGTCAAATGCAAATGCAAAAGACATTTGAAACCTATCATTCGTCAATGTCTGGCTTACTGTTTCGTACTTGCAGGTTTTTATCCCAAAACCAAATTGGAGAATTACCATCAACTATATTTGCTAACCTGACCAAGCTTAAGGCATTTTGAGTAGAGGTGGAAACCTTCAACTATTAATATATTAATTAGCTGTCAGTCGATTGATTGATTTATCAATTTGGGAAATAAAACAGTAAGAGAACATTATAAAAGATCCTGAATGTTAAAGTACGGAAAAAAATTGTGACCATGTTTAAATTGCTTTCGAACTGGACGATTTAAGAGCTATGTGAAATCTAGGATGGATCAATTTACTGCAATTTATTGCCAAAATTAATCGAGGATTGCTGTCGTTTTGCTTTCATCACCCTTATCATTAATCTAAAAACATGCGCCGCCTTTTGAACCAATTGGATTCAAAGCTAAAACCAAGCGCGACTTGTTCATGCAAAATTATTGAAACTTAAAGCCACGTTCTTGTTTGTATTATTTTTAGTGCTGATTGCCTTCGTAAATTTTTTCCTTTTGATTGGTTATCGGCGGTTACTTTGGCGTGGGGTGGAGAAATCGTAGGGCACGCTAGATACGTTGGCACTAATTCAAATTTCAAATGAAGAAAAGGTTGGTAACTAACAGGTTTCTGTTTTACAATTTAACAGAAAAATGGAGAAAAATAAGTTAAAAGAGCTCCATTCTGAACAATTTCGCGGACTGGCAAAGCTAGAAGGGCTGTAAGTAGTTTATGTACTGATCTGAGTTTCTATGGGTCTGGTTTCTGCATGTAGGCTTAGAATATCTCATTACGCTGATTATAAGACTTTATCTGATTGAAAAACTGTTTTCTCGTCGCAATTTACTGCGGAAGACGCTTGCCCGATCAAGTCTTCCACATTTAAGAGAATTTAAGGCCCTGTGTTATAACTTCCTTGTGTTTTTCCGGAATTCCTAAAATAAATGCATGCTGAGGGTCTGTGGAGATTACTGGAGAACCTGTGGGCCGGGATGAATTTTCAGTAACAACTTGTTAATAAAGTTCGTGCAATGACGATGCTCCTCTTTAAAAGTCCAAAAACTGAAAAAAAGAAATTGTAAAAATTGTAAAAGATGGTAATTTTGAGCTCGGTAAAGAAATAAAGAAAGACTTTTTTTTTTTTGTCTTGTCACGAGCGTGGGACAAAGAAAAAAATTTTGAGTCCCCATGAGGAATCGAACCTCAGATCTTCGGATTCCGCGCTCCGATGCTTTACCACTGAGCCACTGAGATTCCACGGCAAGCGAGGTCTATTATATGTACGAAGTTAATAGGACACGCGTGTGTTTGTAAATTTTCCTCCCACTCATGAAAAACGTTATCGATGTCCCGTTCTTTAATTCCCGAAGTTCGCCATACATTTTATTTTCTTTCTTTCTTCATTAGCTATTTGTCGGGAAACGAACTCGGATATTTGCCACAAAGAATTTTCAAAGGCTTAAAGCAGCTTCTGATTCTGTAAGTAGAATATGAAATTCATTTTGTGCTTAATTTGATCGAGGTGGTATCTCAGTATCTTCTAATAATCACACTTATCAGTTTGAGATGCACAAATCAATGCCCAAAAATTATGTGTATTTTTAATTTTTTTTTCTGTAAGAGAACTCTTTGACAACGAATTGAAGAACGTTTCCATCGAAAACTTCAAAGAAATCAGACAGTTAAAAATTCTGTGAGTGTTTAATTTTCATGAATGATAAAATGAAAATCAAATTATTGAAGACACTAGCTGGCATCAAAGGTTCAGTGAAGAAAATAAAAAGGTACAAATCGATATACTAAGTTTGAAGCAACACTCCGGAAATGCTCTTCTATTCATTGATTTCATCCTTATATTCTTGTCTTTAAATATCTAATTTTCAGATTATTACATAATAACCACATGAGGGAGATTCCCTACGGATTTTTTAAAGAGTTGAAGGATATATTGCGAGTGTAAGATTTTGATGTGATTTATTTGATACATTTACAATTTATTAGCAGAGCTATATGAATAGAAAGCGTCTGGGGGTTCCTTTAATTAAAATATTTACTTGCGCAGAGCTTCAGGCAAATGAGTTCGTGGTTTCTATACTATACTAAATATCTATTGTCGGCTTTCTTCACCCTATTGACGACTTTTATAACAACCTCCATTTTTGTTGCCTCACAAAGACTGCTATTGCGCACTACATTGCTTTAAAGTATCGCAAGAAAAATTTTCGAACATATTCGATGAAAATTCATAGATACAATAACCTCTATATGAGGAAATGAAATCTGATCAATTGATCTCGCGTTACCTTTGTGCTCTTAGGGTATAGGCTTTTAATTTTATCTTTTACTCTATCCTTATGAACTGAATAGCATCAAATTTTACGGTTGCAGGACTTTGGACACAAACCTGATGTGTTGTCATATGCATAAGGAGGACGCTGACTGTGCTTTCATTGCGAACGACGACTTCGCCAACTGTGAGAGCATGTTCAAGAACCCAATCCCGAGGAAGAGCATATGGGCAATCGGCTCCCTTTCTCTGGCTGGGTCTGTGTTTGTCATCACATGGCGTTCAGTCTTTAAGGATACAAACACGGTACAATCAATCATGTTATTGCACTTGGCAGTCTCCGATGGTTTAATGGGAGCATACCTAATCACACTGGGTGTCAAAAATCTGTTGTGGAGAGGAGAGTATTACTTACATGACTTCGAGTGGCGGTCCAGTTTGGCTTGCCAGATAACTGGTGCTACCTCTTTGTTATCCAGTGAGGTCTCCTTGATGCTGATGGCTTTGATATCTGCGGACCGACTCAAGAACATTGTGTTCTCGTTCAGAGGTGGAGCACTTTCGCGGAAGATGACCCGCATCCTTTGCACCATCATATGGCTAGTCGGCTTCCTCCTGGCTTTCTTTCCGATGTTTGGCTTGAGATACTTCGAAGATCTTACCACATATCACAGCTATTACGGAAAAAGTGTTGTCTGCCTTCCCTTACAGCTCTCTCGTCACAAAACGGAAGGCTGGGAGTACTCTGTTTCTGTATTTATTGGCCTCAATTTCTTCCTCTTCATATTCATCACAGTTGCCTACCTCGCCATATTCATAAGCAGAGTGCGAGTTAAAAACCAATCAGCCAACACAAGGAGGGAGACCGGTCTGGCCAAAAGATTGTTCTTCATCATCTTCACAGACTGTCTTTGCTGGATGCCAATCATCGTGTTTGGTATGAGGTCGCTTTTGGAGAAGAATTTCAAGCCACCGAGAGACTTAGCTGCTTGGATTGCCGTGTTTGTTCTGCCCATCAATTCAGCGATAAACCCGATTCTATACACGTTAGCAACACCAAAGGTAAAGAATAACATTTCTTCACCATCTCTTAAATCTAAATTATTTGAGGCAAGACCCGGTGGTCTGGCGCTTAACACGGTGGGTTCTTTAACGTACTGACAGGGGTCTTCTTAAGCTAGACACCTACAGTGACTGTTTCCATTCAGCCGTTTAAACGAGTAGTTTTAAACTGCTTGAGAAAGTTAGCTTATACTTCGTCCAAGTACTGGCCTGAATTATCCCGGTTGCTTTACACTACAAAGAGTGTGACGATTATAAAGACGTCAAGCAAGCAATCGATCGAGATCATTGACACTTGTCACTCTATAACAATTGATAAGGGAAAATGGTCGGTTGATGGACGTCGTTAACGACAATTTTCTCTCCTCTCCAGGCGCAAGAGTATCTGGGAAGCAAAATAAAAATGCTGAGAAGCTTCATACGCAGTATTTTTCACTGCAGTGAAAATCAAGAGGGTAGTTATGCCCATTTTTCCATTCTTCCTATTACATAGTTCATAGACTAAAGTCGGAAACCTTGTTCTTAATAGTAAAACGTTCTTTCTGTGACTAACGCCACGTTTGAAATAGATGTCATATTCTAGTAGTATTAATCCGTTGATTTACTCATGCCTTGTTTGATAAGGACAACAACAAGATTCACAGGATATTGATGATAACGGGCAACGAGAAGGTAACATCATTTTTACTGAGCTCTTTGTGTCATTGTATTTTCCTCAGGAATCATTTTCATTTTCATTTTTATTTTCTTGATCCTTCAGTTCATTTTTTATCTTTGTTTCCCAGGTCAACATGAAGGAAAAGCGATGGGGATGCAGATTATTGGACTGCCACACCCAGATCAAGGTGTTCAACCGCGAATTTGCTCGTTCATTGTCCCAAACCAAGTAGATATCAATTAAAGTTCTCTTCGTTTAAGACGGCCGATTGTTCTTGGGCATAAAAACAGCGCAAAGAACTTTGACAGGGAAATGCACATAACATTGCTTCAATAGCATTTTGAATTAATTGTTTTTTTATACGCTGAAATAGAATCACTTAGCGCTTGTATGGCTAAGATTACTTTTATTTGTATTTAATTACCCTTGTGTCCAACACATGTCTGGAAAGTGCCTATCTTCTAAGTAGAATGACTAGTTATAGATTCGTGTTTTGGGGAAAGACGAGTCTTACACTCTTGTATTTATCCATTAATCAAGATGCACAAGAGCAGTATGGCGACAATCAAATTGGAATTGTCCAACGCCTTCACAAGGAGGGTATGTAATGACATCATTTTTGATTACAATGTTTTTATAATTATCAAGATCATTTAATTCATTCGAAAATGTATCTCATGAAAGTCGTTAAAAAATCGTTTTGCTTTTGTTCTTGTTTTACGAAGCTTATCCGCTCACTTATTTCTATGTGTATTTAGATCAGCAAGGAGCTAAAATGCTAGAAATAAATAATTAATATAATAATAATAAATAAATAATAACTACCCATTTTACTATTGGTTTTCCAGCTTATTCTATTAGCATTGTTGTGGTTTCTCTTAAACTTTGTTTTCTTTTCAACTTTAATTTAGAAGAAGGCCACGAAGTAGATGAAGACGTTGTTGAAGAGGATGATCTGGAATATGATACAAAGTTGTAGTCATTGGTCGATAAAAGGATATCAAGTGAACACCAGTTTAACCCTAAACTTCTTAGTAATCTGCAATAAGTAATTAATTATAAGTAATCCTTTTAAATTATTTTATTGTTATAGATAATGATAATTTTATGTCATCAGGATGATACGTCGAGCTTGTAGGACTGTTTATTCTAGACACCAGTACGCTGTAAGATACGTTTGAATTGCAAGGGGGGGGTGCCCTGTTAATCGCAACTGATGGCTCAGGAATAAATTTACCACCTACATGTAGCTAGATTTCCCTTGCTGTAGTCAGTGAACATTCAACAAAAAGAGAAATATGTATTATTATTCACAAAGGGTTAGCTACGAAATGAAGATTTCCACCAATAGGTTTATTTAAAGCAAGATTACCTTCCAAATTTTTCCCGATCAGGTCAGACAGGAGAAAATTTCTTGCAAAGTTGATAATTTCATTGAAAAAAATGTTATCTTTGATATCACTGGCCTTCTGATTCAAACGGTTGTTCTCCATATACCAGTCAGAGAAGAAACATATACTTTCTTACCAGAAAATGATGATATATGATAGAGTTTTAAATTAGAAAGACCAGTCGATATAGGAGCTACATTTGCTCACAAATCTTAACAAACCTTTCATTGATTTGAGACCTCAGGGAGAGCAGGGCTATCCTGTAAAACTCTCATTCAAGCTATGTATAGATGGAAAACTGCAAGGAGAAAATATGCCATCCACTAAGTATATCTTCTACATGGGTAAAACCGATGTTGTTAAAAGAGCTGCTTATTGACATATATGGCCTCTGGTTACATATTATTGTCGATTCTATGATGCATGTAGTCAATAACAGATAATAAAGCATTCAATATTTGTAGTATATTATCTCAGTCGGAGAGAATGAAGAAAAACATGAGAAAAAATGTAATCATGTAGCTAATACAGAGAAGTAGCTGGACAACTTTGCAATATCATTGTTTAGATTTTCCTTTGTCTTTAATTGTCCAGATAACATGTCTGTCTTATTTACAAGTTATGATTAACTTGTCTAAATTAGTTTGCATCTATCTGCAAGTCGTTGTTAGTAGATGATGATGTTGAAGGTTAGCATAACACTAAATTTGACAAAATTTTAAATACAAAAAAATTAACGCTAATAAATCTCAATATCCGGCAGTGAAGTGCTTTTGTGTGCTTCACCAAACGTAAATCACCAAAACTGGTCTTGGGTTGGCCAGTTTAGAAAGAGTTTACTGGAGTTGCCAAAGTTGAACAAATTTCTACCTCATCCCAGTTACGCCCCTCCCCCCCTCCCTCCCCACGAACTAAATGAACAGTCTCAGTGCATTGCATAGTTTCTCGCAATAAATGATGATAAAAATAAGATCAAAGTGCTCTATGAGCAAAATCGTGAATTGACACATGATTTTTTTGGGATTATGTTTAATGTTATCTGGTTTAGGGAATTTTGTGGTTGATTGTCGTATCTAGAGTACAAGCAGTAGTTCAGCGTTCGCTAATGTGGCAAAGAAACAAAGTAACGTTGGGATAAGAAGGCATTACAATTGAAATGATCATGCTATTACATTTGACAAGGGTGGATGATGTCGTGTTTTAAACGTATATCATTTTTGTTTCTGGTTCAAAAGAAAAGGTTGGAAGTAAATGTGGGTGAAAAGTGAAATTTATTGTCTATCATTGTAAAATTAAAAAATCAAGGCAATACTGTCTTAATGAAAACATTAACGATTTCCTCTTTATCAAATGAGACAAACGGGAACGAGTTTTGAGTGATATAACGAAGCCAAGACTGCCACCGTTATTTTGGATCTCCGCCTGGGTAGATTTTAGTCACGTGCTAGGCAACGTATAATCAATAACAAAATAGAATTTCATTTAAGGCCTATTTATCAATTTTGTGGAGTATAACTTTCGCATTTTAGTACGTAATACGTATTTTGAATCTTCAAATTGTCTTGAAACTTAAAATAAAATTGTTCGTTAAAAATTCACTGAAAATTGTTTGATTAGGTGTTACTTGATTTTCGCGTTAACTTTTAATTTCGTCAGTCGCCGGCATCTTCTGTTGCTTCACACAGGAAAAATACACGATACGAAACGTAATGATCGATTTTGTCCTCAATCTCACGCCATAACAGAAAAAGCTTTTGAACATCTGTAAACTCCGTGCGCTTCGCAGTAAGTGATATTTTCAATGAATCTTCGGATTGTTTTCAAGTTCAAGGATTGTGAATTAAAATTTTTATGAAAAACGAAGGTTGTTCTGTTATTTCAGTGTGAATCCTTGCATGCCTGCCAGTCGCTGGCGCAGCTTGTTGAAACTAAAACGAAAAAAAAACACTCTTTTAAGATTATCATTGGCCTCTTTTTCACTCCACCACTATTCTTAGCAACAAAGGTCGCCATTTCGTTTGTTTATTGCTCGCCAACTACTAATATTAAATGCACTCAAAAGCCTAAAATCGAAAGGGGATAGAAGTATTTGCACTTGAGCGCTTACGGCATGTTACATTTTAGAAGATTTTATTTTTGTCTTCTAAAGTAAATATTTGATTCTTTAAAAGCTGGTAATGTGTTGATGACTCATGTCATGTCGATTATATTATATAAAAATGCAAAACTGGTTAAAAGGCACAATTGCTGACGTTATTGTACTGTTTGTGAATGTCATCCATGGTGACTTGAAATGAATGGACAGCGCGTTCATAAGAATATTCATCTTTAGATAATTACCTGGTAAAGCTGTATGCAGACGGCTTTCTGTATTTGAATTCATTGCTGTTTAAAAGCCGTTCGATCTGAATCGAGGAAAGAGATCAGAAAAAGTATTTTTGAGGTATTTATTCTTTTTGATGTTTAAAATGTCTATGCGAGGAAAGTTAAGAATTTAACAGTATACTATGACACAAAGTTAACTGTGTTAAAATTCTACGGGACAGAATGATTCTCATCATTCATTCTTAAGATCTTTCGCCCAGCTTTTTTATATTATTCCTCAATATTCAAACAAGTCAGTTACGAATTTCTTAATGAGCATTTTTCATTCAAAGGGCTGATAAAAAAATTCACAGTTACTCAGGCCTGTCGTCAAATACTGCGCCAAACTTTCACAAGGGAGAATAGGGGATTTAAAAAATTGATCAGTGAGCTTTCCCTTATCACTTTTTAATCCTTATATAGACTTTCTCCGCTGGGATAATGATAATAATAACATATTCAGGGTTCACCGCGACACGTTCTTTCTGGCGCGTACTCTGAGGTGGAAATACAAGAAAGAATTAAAAAAACTTTCGGCAAATATTCCAGTGACTAAAATGTAATTGTAAAGGTAGGAGAAAAGTGAATTTTACAAGAATTTCTCAACGACCTCTCTATTCCGGCATAGAGACAATTTAATATGGTAATATAAATTGAGGGTCTCAATGGGGTGATGGCTTCGGTTAAAAGTTTTACCAAGTTACGGCTAACAGTTAATATCTTTCCATTGTTGTCATCAGAATAATTTTTATAGTTTATTTTTCATAAAACCAACGAACAAAGTTTGTCAATTTTTGCGCCCAACGGTTTAGTTACTGGCATTTAACGACTAACGGTCAACCCCGTTGAAACCCTCTGAGTTGTTCTTATTATCAAATGTGCTAAAACGCGATTCAGGAAATTTCCCATTAAAGCCTTATTCAGATACAATAGTGCCTTAAAGGACTATATTTTTTTTGCCATTAAGATATAGCTGAATCTTGTCGTTTTTAACTGCTCTGGGAGGTAAACAGCCTCGGTAATCGTTAACATGAAGAAAAAATACATTATCCATCATTTTACGTTATTTAATCAAACTCTTAACTCAACTCAATCTTCTCAAACTTCCTCTCAACCCATCAGCTGAAAACAGAAGATGGTGCCCAGAAAGACCTTCTGGGGCTTCATTATTGCTTTCTGTAAGTACTGTTGTCTTTGTTTGCTAGAATCAAGTTAAGAGACCAGAAATCTTATAAAGTCCTATTCCAACGCATCGCAAAACGACCTTTTTGTGCTTCTCAAATATTTTGTCCCTTTTCACCTCCATGGTGTCCAACGAGAGAGGCACGCGGCAGAGAATCCCTTAGGGGCTTGCGAAAATCGAGTTACTGCTCACGGGTAAATTACGAGACAGCTCTGTGCCTCAGTTAATTTTAGCTTCTCTCGCTAATTCGATCCTCTTTGCTTCCTGAGAGGAGACGGTTGTGCACGCCGTGACGGTGAGCCTTGACGTAATTACAAACTTCGATTCAGGGAAAATCTTCAACACAAGAAAATACATGTTAATGATTCGCTTCGTTAAAGTTTCAAATAAAGTGCACATCCAAAACGATCACCTTTAAAATTATATAACTAAATGAGTCATCCAATGAGCTTACAAGAAACAAATCCTTTTCATCGTTGCTGTTTTGTCCCTTACTTTCAAAAAGAAAATAAACTATCAAAAAGGCGATTAAAATGCTCCATTAGTCATAATCTTGATGCCAAACTGAGACATCGAAAGAAAAATTCAAATATGTTTCTTACGTGTATATTTATCTTACTATTTTCATAGACATAGCAAATCTCCACCTAATTTGACGCATGTGGCTTTCGATTAAAACGACGGATCGAGTTTGGCTTTCCGTTGTGGCTCTATGAAAGCCGCTTTGAAATGCTACCTCTAAATAGCTTTGTATTGAAATATTTCGAAACCTAGGCGAGGAGTCTCCTCCTGTGTCCTCTCGTTTTTTCTTTATTTTATTTGCAGTTTTGCTAATACTGGAAGTACGCCTTCAGAGAGTTGTCCCACGATTTAACTTAAGTATACTCTTACAAGCGCCAAAAGGACATTACGTGGAACTGAATTTAACCATGGAGAGTTTATATCTAATACCTTGCATTGATGATAAGTACCTTGAGGTTCGTGATGGATACAACAAGTCTGCCAATCTTCTTGGTGTATTTTGTGGAGGGAACAATTCTGTTGTTATGCGATCCAGTGGACAGAACTTGTGGATCAGAAAATCAGTTCATTACATTGGCAGGTTTCGGAGCTCGTACACCAACAAAACACTCAACTTTACAGGTATTGTCCTTTGAAATTACTAACTGAAGCAATTCTAAAATGGTTCTAAGTCGTCTCAACACGGAAGGAATAGATGGCAATTACGAGTACTGCAACTCATTTGGCAATTTCATTTATTTGTTTTGTTCCAGTTGAACCCAACCTAGACAAGGTGGCCGGAACTCAATTTGTTCTTTTCAACCAAACTTCATCTCTTTGGTGTCCAGCACAAGGTGCACCAGCACCATTTATAGTTTGGAGAAAAAACGGAAGAGTGGTACAGAACAGTACAAGTGTCAAATATCAGCTGACCATTTCTGAAGAAAACACTGACAAGTATAGCTGTGAAGTGAACGGACAGGATGATGTTGACAAGAAAGACATCCGTTTTGTCACTGAAAGTGAGTTTTTTCACAAAACGAATTTAAGGGGATAAGTTTTTAAAGAAATCGTGGTGCTTCGTTGGTAGGGCGTATTACAAGATGATTTGGTTTTGCTCTTCGCAAACTATCAATTTACATACAATTGATTCACAAGTCAGTCTGACGTAGAGGAAAATATACTGCACATTTGCAAAGTCTGCCTAATCGCAAGAAAAATGAGCAACTCTTAACGGTCTCTAAGCTGACTTTTCAGCTGAAAGACTGACACAATAGTTTTATTTACCAATAGCCCATAGACTCCTGTATCGACCTAATGACTTGTTTATTTTGTCTTACACTGGAATGGTATGAAGTGTTCACGAGATAACTAGATGGCAACTATCATTTCAGAGTACTCCAATGCACACATTCAGAAAGTACCACCAGAGCCTCATTAGCTTTCAGCAAAAAAAGTTAGTACATTCATATCGTCTTACTTTATTCTAGGGTGCCCAGATCCCTGCCGATGTACAATTGCAGTTGGAATCATAGGTGCAGCCACCCGCATTGAGTGTCGAGGAAAACACTTACAGTCAGTTCCACAGCACTTGCCCTTTTCTACAGCGAAATTGTAAGCGTTTCAACTCTTTTTCTTTTGGGCTTTTGGGAGGTGGTCGCCGAAGTAGGCTTGGCATCAAACTTGGCCTCAGAATTCTGAGGAAAACTACGAAGAATCTAACAAACGTTTTTGGAAAAAAGGCTCTCTTCCAATACCTTTAACGGTGACAATGACCGTCATCGTCTGTGTCAGAGGTCATTGACACTTCGACAACATAAATGGAAAACAAGTCATCTGCCGAAGTGAAGTAAAGAGCCTTTTGAACAGACTTCTGTCAGATTATGTTTGTAGCCACGGGCTTTTTACATGTGAGTTGTTTGTAACTTAAGCACAGCTAAAAAAACGAACCAACCACCCATATGTTATCAACGATTTTAATGTGACATCTTTTAGCTACGTGATTTTTGCTGTTTATAACATGTAGACAGAACTTCAAATTCGTCTCACAATTCTAGCCTATAACATTGCCTTGTCAAAACGACTCGCCACTCGACTTTGAGGATGAATGTCACTAATTTCAGATGGCAGAACGTTTAATAATTTTTTTAAATGGCAAAATAAGAACGATTCTTGAAATTTAGTTAGCATCTGATGAATAAAGTCACTCATCAAGCAAAATTGGACAATAAATCGATATCTAATTCCAGGTGAAAGTCTTTGTTGCGTGAAAGAGCCTCGAATGGCACTAGGAGTCTTGAAATATATAAGGTGTGCAAAATCTTCTATCGAAGATTGAGGTTAAAATTTAACATTTTCTCCAGGCGGGGGGAAGGGGGGCTGGAAGGAGAGGGGAAATAATAATAAACTGCCAACCTAAACCCAGGACACATCCTCATTTTAGGGACTTAGAAAACAATCAAATAGAGGAGCTACCACCTGAAGACTTCAATAACAACTCGCAGTTGGTCGTACTGTAAGAGACTTGTGTTATACTTTTGTTGCTATTGGTGCTTAATGTGTTTCTAATTATTAAATGCCTAACCCTAAGTGTGTGTAGCTAACCATGAAGGTAGTGGAAAAGGGTTGAATGGTTTGTAGATTGGCAGTGTCGAACTTCTAGAAGTAACCTCGCCTACTTGGACCATGTTTTAGTTCAATAAATAACAAAACACTACAATTTTCAAACAAAACCATCAAGTTAGGCTGTTGGTCTTAGCTTTCACGATTATATATTCTATTTTTCTGAGTTTATTTGTTTTATTTGCATATGGGAGATTTCCTGCATGGCCAATGTTCGAAGGGGGCTGGAAGAACACAAAACGCGATCGACTCGAAGTTTTCTCTACTACATCCCACCTTTAAGGCGTTGTCCTTCCCCCCCCCCCTTTTCCATTCTTATTCAAACTGTTTACCGATACAGGGGTGACAGTTTCTTATGTGGTGGTTTAAAAAGTTTTAATACTAGGTTTTATAATTAGGTTGTTACGTAATAACAAGATCAAGCAGTTGCTAGGTGACTCGTTTTCTCAGTTGGTCAAGCTGCGAAGGCTGTAAGTGAAAAGTAGCATTCTTATATCGGTTATTTCACGTTTTTAGGTTTGCGATGTGGAATCCGTCCTGGATTGCACACAAACCAATCACAGGGGGAACCATTCTGTTTACTACTAACTTAGTCGGTCAACTTTTCTGAAAAAAAAAATAGGTTAAAGTAATTCTTTCAGCATCTTTTCTCCCTGAGAGTTAAGAAATAGTAACTTCCATCAAAATTTAGGCCGGCGTTAGTCAGAGTAGTTAGTTTTTTAATACTGCAAACCTGTTAATTGACTGATGTATAATTTCTCTCCCAAAATTTCCAAAGCAACGAATTCGAAATTAATCCAACGCATAACTACCTGAAAAATCAAAGTGCTCTGTGAGCAAACTCGTGAATTGACACATGATTTTTTGGATTATGTTTAATGTTACCTGGTTTAGGGAATTTTGTGGTTGATTGTCATATGTAGAGTACGAGCAGTAGTTCAGTGTTCGCTAATGTAGCAAAGAAACAAAGTAACGTTGGGATAAGAAGGAATTACATATATAATACATAAGCTTACATAATACATACATAAGCTCATATAGAAACCTGGACAACTTTGAAACAATATTAAGCAATAGCACATTATCTAATTTTAATTTTTTATAAATTAATTTTATCTTTCTGAATATTTTTAATATATCCTGCTATTTCTATCATAGAATTTTGTAATTATTTGTATATTTATCTATTTATTAGTATTATTTTGTAATGCTGTATAATCTAGTTAGAGGGCCACAGGTTTGTCAGCTTTTCAGCTGTTACGTGTCCCCCTCTATAAATAAAGTCCTTATTATTATTATTATATTATTACAATTGAAATGATCATGCTATTGCATTTGACAAGGGTGGATGATGTTGTGCGTTTTAAACGTATAGCATCTTTGTTTCTGGTTCAAAAGAAAAGGTTGGAAGTAAATGTGGGTGAAAAGTGAAATCTACTGTCTATCATTGTAAATATTAGAAAGTCAAGGCAATACTGTCTTAATGAAAACATTAACGATTCCCTCTTTATCAAATGAGACAAATGGGAACAAGTTTTGAGTGATATAACTAAGCCAAGACTGCCACCGTCATTTTGGATCTCCACCTGGGTAGATTTTGGTCACGTGCTAGGCAACGTAAAATCAATAACAAGATAGGATTTCATTTCAGGCCTATTTATCAATTTTGTGCTGTATAACTCTCGCATTTTAGTTCGTAATATGTATTTTGAATCTTCAAATTGTTTTGAAACTTAAAAGAAAATTGTTTGTTTAGGTGTTATTTGATTTTCGTGTTACGTTGTAATTTCGTTTGTCGCCGGCATCTTTTGTTGCTTCACACAGGAAAAACACACGATACGATACGTAATGATCGATTTTGTCCTCAATCTCACGCCATAACAGAAAAAGCTTTTGAACATCTGTAAACTCCGAGCGCTTCGCAGTAAGTGATATTTTCAATAAATCTTCGGATTAATTTCAAGATTAAGGATTGTAAATTACAATTTTATGAAAAACGACAGTTGTTCTGTTATTTCATTGTGAATCTTTGCATGCCTGCTAGTCGCTGGCGCCGCTTGTTGAAACTAAAACGAAGAAAAAAAAACTATTTTAAGATTATCATTGGCTTCTTTTTCACCCCACCACTTTTCTTAGCAACAAAGGTCGCCATTTCGTTTGTTTATTGCTCGCCAAAAACTATCAAATGCACTCAAAAGCCTAAAATGGAAAAAAAGTTTTTAGGAATCGACCAATCGAGCGAGCGAGCGAGTGCCATTCTCCACATCATATCCACAGCTCGCTCTTGCGCATGCGCGCAATTCACGAGTTAATGATGATAAAATTGGAAAAATGTAGCAGAATCAAGCAACGAAACGTTGAAAACGTTGTTTTTTAAGTTCAGTCCTTGAGGACTGAGATTGTACTTTTCTTAAAGTGTTGACATATATCAATTTGTTCAATCACATTCAAGATTACAGTAAAAGCGTTTGTTTGACCGGACAGGGAAAAAAACAAACTCTATTCCGGCCGAAAAAGCACTAAACAGCAGCAACACACAGGAGGTAATATAATTTTAATTAAAGTCATGGAATATCTTTTCTTAGGGCCTTGGATAACAACCAGATAAAGGAACTACCACCTGGAGTCTTCAATGATAACACCGAGTTGACCACACTGTAAGTAACAGATATCCACGCCCATTCGATGTGCAACGAGTGTAATGTCAGTGTTTACTTTATATAATCAAGACGGTCCTCAAGCTTAGTGGGTGTAGTCAACCATGAAGAGAATGAAAGGGGGTGGGACTGTTTGTATTTGGACAGTTTAATCAATGATCATTTCCAAGCATATGTCAGTGGTTCTCGTTTCGTAAATCCTATTTTCTATTCCCTTGCTAACGAAGTTTTATCCGTTTGCATAAGCGTGGCCAGTATGTATAGGGAGGTAGTTGCAATCGTTTCCTTTCAGAAGAACGGGCCTCACCCTCTGCGTTTCTTTTTACACCAGTACTGCGGTCGAACTCGAATAGAATTTATTCATTTTCACGTATTTGTGATGCAAAGTTTCCAAAACTTACAGGTGGTTACACGACAACAAGTTGAAGAATTTGCCAGGCGACTTATTTTCCCATTTAGTCAAGCTGCGGTGGTTGTAAGTGAAAAGTCGTCCTTATATATAAACTATTTCAAGCGTCACAAGACTTACTTTCAATCAATCGCTGGTTAACATACGACTTATCGTCATCTCCAGTAGATAATGAATAAAAAAACTTACGGGTGGCGTGAATCAAACTTCAACAGTGGCAAATGAATGGAGCAAACTCCCCTCGCTAATCAGTCATCTTCAGTTTCATAAAAGGTTGAACAGGTTACGTTTATTTTGATCGGCCATCGTAATATGCTCAGAGTGTCGTTAATC